GGATTAAACATCGTTGAATGAATTTCATGAAGATTGTTTCAAAGAATTTGAGCAACACAGATAAGATATAAATAAATTGTCTAAATATGATTCATAAGTTAGAAAAGCAACATGAGTCATTTATAAAGTGGGGGCAACCAAAGCCATAGAGCCGAAGAGAATATGGAAATGATATTGGTTGTGAGTGGAGAGTGGAAAAGAACGAAAGAGACAGAAGGGAGGCAGTGTCGCTTGCGTAGACGCTAGCGAATTTTCGAGGGAGAGACAATCAATACACGGGAGGAAAAAGAGGTGAACGGCAGCCAGCCCGACGACTGGTCGTCTGGCACAACCATTTAACATAGCAGTAGAATCGACAGGAAGCAGAAAACTAGAGGCATGAAGAGAGACATTTGAGGAAAATCGATTCGCTGAAAAAAGAGCTTGCCTTCGCTTGCCTCATAATACTAACGGCAAGCTTAAAGAAGGCCAATAAATATGTGGCTAGCATGCGAATTTCAAAGCGAACCCATAAGGCAAAACGAATCATTGAACTCAAAAAATATCGAACAATTGAAAACAATTGATATATTCAATAGATTTAGTACTATTCACTACGTTAGTTATATGTTATGGTTATATTGCAATCGACATAAAACAATTAAAGATAAAGGATTAGTAGTAGTGTTATTCTCCTTATAGTTTGCCTGCATGAAAAATATTACGGTTTTGAGTATTATTGAACGGATTATGATTTCAGTTGAATAGCATCAAACACAGAGCCTTCAAAGTGAAAGTCGTTGGATATGAATGCAAAGTTACTATTTTATTATATGCTCATCAGTGATTCAGTTCGATTCTGGCTGGAAAATAAATAATCCGAAAACAGTTGATAACTCTGAATTGAAGAATAGAGCTTCAATTAGAAAAGTCATAACTTTTTCGTGCAGTAATACTAATAGTTCCTGTGAGAAGCACTCTCGAAATCGTAGTGCTTCCCCACCTCTCCTTGTCTTTTTACAGGCTCAGTTTAAAAACTTCTTTTCTTTTTCTGTGATAACGATATTACCAGTTGAATTTTCGGCTGAGCAGAAGGTTTCATTTTCAACTACTGTAACGCATGGAAATAGCAAAATGTTTTTTGTGTTCTTAGATATGTATAGTTTGTTTTTGGTTTCCGGCCCATCAGTAAAGTATTGTGTGAAAAGTAAAGAAACAAAAGTAGTTCATATAGAAGTTCGATAATTGAACGAAATATTAGAAGAGATAAGGAAAACAATGAATTGTCATCTGCAACAAGAGCTTATCATACTCCCATACCTTTCTACTCCTTGTGTATTTCGATGATGAAGATTGAATTCAAAAATGGATGAACAGCCATTGTCTAAGCCTACTGCCTTTTTTCTCTTCAGCGTCGTCTTATAAGGTCTGTCCCATGTTTGAAATGACGTATAACCTAATACTACTACATAGTTTGTGATTCCACAGATTCTCATCAAACTCCGAAAATGAGAGAAACCTTTTGCATTCCGAGAGAAGTTAAGATATGTTTTGAGAAGAGGATGTAATAGTAAAAAGGATCAGCCTTGTTTTTTGTATTGAGTGAATGAGACCGAAGTACAACAAGTAGATTGTGAAATGAAAAAAAGGACTATGAGCTAAGTGAAAATTTTCTCAACATTCACGAAAGATTAATGTTGTTTGGCAAGTCTCAAAGCACGTACTATGGATCCAGAGAATTATTGGAAATTTAAATGGTTGATAGGAATAATCAATCGAATGTAGTGGGGCCAGTTAGCTTTCCAATGAGTTTATACAAAACCAGCTCATGTTTGGTGCAGAAGTTCAGCGGTTTGGTTTATTGATGAGCTAGGTTTTCCGAATACTGGCAAAACGTAGACAAGGAGAAAAGGGGTAGGGGAGAAGAAAGAACACAAGTTTTGCTCTGTGCAGCAGCTCGCAAATGATTCTGTTCTTTCGATAGTATATGGTATATGGTTGTAATTCTTATTATTTTCCTATTTGCCATGGGGTCACAGAGAACTGTCAGAATGAACCCGGAGATGAGTTTCCCATTCAACAGATCGAGTACTCAAACAAATGAAATAATATGTTTCATGAAGATGATTTTGGAAGGTCATAAGGAAGTATATATGCTTTTTAGAGCAGAATTTGTGCATGAGGTGCAGATACTTCGAAAAATATTGAAATGAGTTACAACTTTACACTACCTTTTTGGATGAGAGATCGTCTGATGATCGAGAAAAAGATCCAGAAGGAACAGGGGAATCCAGAAGAAAATAGGGCAGCTTCATAAAAACTGAACGCACATATGACATTGAAGTAGCAACTTGGTTAGACTCACTCAAGGAACGAACGAAACCAATAAAACATGCTATCGTCCTAAAAATAGCATAGCTTCATAAAAAAAAGAAGTGATCGTCATCATTTGGACTTTCAATTTTTTCATTTCTGTAGAAAATTCCCGCCGAGGAGACATCATATATTCCTTACTACAGTTTCGCGCAAGTAAGCTCTCTGGTATTTTACGTCTATATAAGTATGTATTCCACTTGAATCGAAGTCTACGAAATGGATTTGAACCCGTGAAGTAATGATTTTGTCTAACTGATGTGATTATCCCGCCAAGTACTAGAACAGTAACCACGAATAGATCTTTGATCTCGAGAGTAAGCAATCTTTAAAAAAACAAAACGTTTGTTGTTTTCTTGATCTTTTGATATCTGCATTCCTGGTTAAGTTTAGGAGCTCCTAGGTTTCCTATACATAACTTTCTCCTATTCTGGCTTCATATTATCAAATCCTGGGGCATATCTAAAGTGATTTCACAGCAGATATCTACAACTAACGAAACGCTCTTGAGCCCTATCACAATGTGAAAATAGTTTTCAACCAAACATGCATTTAACAATTCTGAAGTTGTGTCAACCTTTTCAAACAACCTGTTGCACTATTGTTATCATCCAAGAGATTTTTTCATTTTCCTTAAGTATGAAACTTTACAATCGTATTTATGATTGAGCCACATGTATAAAGATATTATCAGACATTCATATCCATCAAATAATCAGTCTTTACAGTTCTTAAGTCCGATTTGTTTCTTCTTCCAACTCTTTAAGCGGATATTTCCTGGATCTAGAATGAAAGCTGAAGTTCGGGCGAATCGTCGTTATCATCTTTCTCTATTCTGCAGATGGATCTTTCATTTCCTAATCTTCAACCCTACTTGATTGTCCATCTATCTGTTTTCAGCTCCGTACCTTTCCAAAGGTTACCCAACCAGCTTTCTATGTGAGAGAAAGCGCATGACACGCAGTGATAAGTACGAAAAACTCAATGAATTATTAAACACATTCTCAGTCTTTAAATAGAATCGTAAAAAATAAAGCAATGAACCAAACATCCAATACAATTGGAAGATTTTCAGGAGCAGACGTGCAACCAAAAATGCTGTGTGTGCTTAAATACCCTCTCCTCAAGTGCTTCCCCTTCACATTCAACATCTTGAGGAAAAGTTTCATTGATAAGCTGAGCTATGTTGTCGATAAACAGTGAGCTAACCATAACATCCTTATCAAGAAGAAAACTACTGGAACGTTACTCACCTTTCATTCTTATCTCTCTTATCTACAACAAAAATGTGCTTCTGTTAACGATTGCTAAACTGAACAAATAGCTAGGTTTCTAAACGAGTTTATTTCTAATTTCCAACGAGATATATGTGAAGCAACATTAAAAACATTAAACGAAAACTTTCTAGCTAAATGAGACAAAATCGATACGTACCCGATTGTTACAATGAAAATGAATTTAGATAAAAGGTGAAATGAAAGGGCAAACAGAAAAAACTTCTACTTCTTTGTCGTTTCTCTCCTTTTCCTTTCTATTTTTAAGCAAATGTTTCTCACCATCAAATCATTTCATGATAAGCACAAACGATGGGCAGAACGTGCTTCGCCCGATGCTTAAACTTGACACAAACCTCATCGACATTATTCTAATTTTCCACATATTGCCTTTGCTCATTTATCGATTTCTTCAAGCCACCACTTTATCCTTCTATCTTCAGTAATTATCATGCTTTCCAAATCCCTCTGTGGATTATCACGAACAGTTGTACTCCGCAGGAATGCTTCAACCTTCAGGTGGACAACTAAATTCTAACAGTTGTAAAGATGTTTAGTTTTAGCGGGCTCACTTCCGAGCAGTTCATGAAGTCTATGACTAATGAGCCTATTTTGGAGTATAAGAAAGGAAGTACAGAGAGGCTTGCTCTTGAAAAAGAGCTTACTGCTATGAGCAAGGTCAGTTTGAGTAAATTTATCAGAGAAGTGTGATAAGCTGTTCTAGACTACTGTTGATGTACCGTTGCGCATAGGTGATAAGAAAATCTTCAATAACCTTGAGAGAAATCAAGTTATGGTTTGTTGACCTATTGAAATGATTTCTATAGAACAGTATTCAGCCATCAGATCATGCTTCCGTTCTTGCTAGATATACTTATGCAACTAGTGAGCAGATTCAAGAAGCGATTGCAGTTTGTTTGGAGAAAAGAGCTGCTTGGGAACGAGTACCTTTGAAGTAATACTCTACATCATCATGAACCATTTGACATAATTACAGAGAACGGGCAGAAATACTCCTCAAAGCTGCTGATTTATGTGCCGGGAAATATAGAATGAAACTAAATGCTTCTACAATGTTAGGCCAAGGAAAAAACATTCTCCAAGCAGAAATCGACGCCGCTTGTGAGCTGATCGACTTCTTCCGATTCAATGCCAAATTCGCATTGGAGGCTGACAAGTATACTCCCTTAAGTACTCAAATTAGTACAAACAAGATGATTCTACGTGGAATGGAAGTGAGTAGTATGAAATATTGCGCGAGTAAGCTTGTGAATATTTAGGGTTTCGTTGCCGCAATCGCTCCATTCAACTTCACGGCCATCGGAGGAAATTTGGCATCTGCTCCCGCTTTGATGGGAAATGTTTGCTTGTGGAAGCCTTCCGATACTGCTGTTTACAGTAACTACATCATTTACGAAATTCTAGAAGAAGCAGGTGATTAGAATGTTTGCCTCTTTTTTAAGCCCATAAACCTAACCATGTAGGAATCCCTTCTGGCGTTCTTGCATTCTTACCCTCTGATGGTCCTGTTTTCGGAAACACAGTAACTGCTCATGAAAGCCTAGTGTAAGAGTGTTCATTGCCATTCAAAATCTTGTTTTTACCCCTTTAAGAGCCATCAATTTCACCGGATCAGTCCCTACTTTCAAGACTTTGTGGAGAAATGTTGCTGATAACTTGGACAAATACATCACTTTCCCCAAACTCATCGGAGGTTTTCATTGCTCATGGAAAATTTAACTTTGCTTTTTTTTAAAGAATGTGGTGGAAAAAACTTCCATTTCGTTCATCCCTCAGCTAATGCTGACTCTGTTGCAACAGGTTTCTCTTCTTTCTCCTCTTTTTCATGATTTTGCGTCTCTTAGGAACTGTGAGATCTGCATGGGAGTATTCAGGACAAAAATGCTCTGCTTGCTCTAGAATGTATGTGCCTGCTTCTAGATGGGAAGAAATCTCGAAGAAAATTGCTGATATTCATAAGCAGATCAAGCTTGGCGACGTATGAGCTGGCCTTTTTAAGCGAAACACTTTTGAGATTGTTTCAGGTTCGTGATGGATCTATCTTCCTATCAGCTGTTATCGATGAGAAGTCGTTCGCGCGTAACAAGTCTTACATAGGTGAGTGAACAGAGCTTTCTATCATGATCTTTATTCCTAGATTATGCTAAGACCGGAGCTGATGGAGCCAAAATTGTGTTAGGAGGATCTTATGATGATTCGAAGGGGTACTTCATCGAACCTACTCTGATTACTGTTACAAACTTCAATAGCAAACTCATAACTGAGGTTTTGTAAAAATATTTTGAGAAACAAATGCTCTTTTCTCGTTCAGGAAATCTTTGGACCTGTTATTACCGTTTTCGTTTATGAGGATAGTAAGGTCGATGAAGTCCTCAGTAGTATTAAGGATGCGACTCCATATGGTTTAACTGGAGCCATTTTCTCTGAAGATAAAGTATTCCTCAATAAGTCAGTTCTCAACATGAAGCTATAGATTGAATATGTTTTTTCCAGGGCTAAGGATGTTTTGAGAGATTCCGTAGGTAACATGTATTTGAACGACAAATCAACTGGATCTATTGTTGGCCAGCAACCATTCGGAGGAGCTCGAATGTCCGGTTAGTAGAGTGTTGAGATTTTCTGAATATGATTTGGTTATTCTTAAGGAACAAACGATAAGGCAGGAGGACCCCATTATGGAATCAAATGGGTTTCACCATTGACCGTCAAAGAGACCAGTGTTCCACTGACCGAGTGGCGTTATCCATCCATGGATTAAGCTTCTAGCTTAATGTAAACTACTCGTACTAATTCCTAATATGTTTTCTTTTACTTACACATAGACAATATTTGAGCAGGATACACTAATTAATCTATGCGAGATTAAGCTTAGATACCAACTAGTCATAATATGGCAGTGAAATACTAGTAACTAGTGTTTAATATATTTTGTTATAATAACATACAGATAGGCAATTAGATTCTAAATGATTTTTTCTTTTCTGTTACATTCGTCAATGTTTTAGATAAACGAATTCTTTTTCAAAGTTTCTCATTATCTTTCTCCTGTTTCTAAAGCAAAAAATCCTTTGTGTAGTGTTCGAGTGGTTTGTTGTTCTTGGAATAGTCTGCCGTTCAACACAAATCTTTCCAGGATTTCGTCTTGGATTCCCATAAGCGGGAACGAACGAAGAATCGGTCAAAGCAGAATGTCTCTTATTGCAACGATATCAGCAACATGTGAGTTCGTAATGCCAGAAAACCACTTTCTTGTAGAATCCTATATGGTCTGTGAGAGAATTCGTTAAAAGCGTGTTTCCAAAGGAGATTTGAGAACTCGGTGAACGATATCAAAAGATTGTGAAAATGAAGTTATAGCAAGTTCTAATAAGATTCTTCATCTAATTCACATCTGTAAATGAGCTCATCAACGAATTAAATTACCAATTCCTTTCTTACCGAATTAACGAATCTTGTCAGCTAGCGACCCTAAGTGCATTTCCTGTTTAGCAAAACTCATAAGCGATTACTTTGCTTCCTTCGCTCAACCAAAAATAATTCCTTTAAGGAGCTGGCTATGTTTAGATTACTTCTGTTACTACGACGACAACTAGTTTAGTAAGTTACATGTACGAAGCTGAGGCCATATGGTCCTCCCGTTGGTGTGACTTCCCTAAGTGCCAGATGCTTACAATTTAAAATGCATTAATCATTGACGATTCCTTCTCCTTCGTATTCATTTAAACTTATTTATATTTACTAACTGTTTCGTCTTCAATTTCAACAGTTTTTGAAAAATAGTTTTATCTGTCAGCAGTCGTTTCCCATTTCACAGCGAATACAACCGCTCGTAATAGTTTATACCATTCGAATGAACTCCTCCATATTGTCAATCAACGTGAGTTTTCACGTATTGCGGTCCTTCGGATGGAAGAGTAGCCTCCTCATGAAGTTTTCTCAACCATCTTGCGTTTAAAAAAAATAAATAAAGAGGTGCTGAAGTTGAATAAACTTCATTGCTAATTTCGCATGAAGACCCGGTAATAGTTGTTTGCTAAACATATAGGAACAGGTATTACGTAGAAAGTAACTATGAATAGAGAGGAGAGAGTCACAGTTGGCTCGTTTTCCATATATGTACAGTCTTTTCGTTTGTTGCTTTAGATCGAAATGGATACTTCTCTCCTACCCTCCACTCTCTTTCTCTTTCTCTCATTTTTTAATAGAACAAGTCCTTTAGAGAAAAACAAACTAAGCAACTCTTAAACCGAAGATTTTTTTTATATTTTCATATGAAACTATAGTTAAGAGTTGAAATTCAATAACTGCCTTATCTTCCTTATAAGGTTTAAAATGAAATTCAAGCCGTCATTTGTATAATTTATTCATCGTGAGACTTATATTTTACTTATGAAGCTCGCGGAAGTCCATAAATTGTCTTTTCGTCAAAATGCTTTCGGCAATGTTCTTAGCCAAGTCATGAGCCGCATCCTTTTGATTTATTTTAATTTCTTTTTTCTAACATTATGATGAGATCGGATTATTGCGCTAAAAAGTGCTCGAAGATTATGGAGAGTTTGTAGATTTTGTATTTTCGTTTCATTTCCAGCTTCAATTGAGAGAAAGGAGGAAGAGGAGAAAGATAAAGAGAACAGAGAGATGTTGACGATCGCGATTCGCTTTCTTCAAGAGTTTATAGCTCATCATCCAGTCTGCAGATATCTTACCATGATCTCTTTCTTATTAAAAATTTTATTTTTTTCCTAAGCAACAGAAGAGGGAGTAGAAGAAGAAGAGACCAGTAGACGATGTAAATGATGATGATGAAGAAGAAAGTCGGAAATTAGAAGAGTGAATGGTCGTCTGGCATTTGGTGACAGTTCTTGCTCTTCTCATCTGTTTCTTCACCTCTCCTACCCATCCACATAGATGTGACCTTTAACATAATGAGAACAGTTGTTAGTAATTTATAAAATCGTCTATACGATAACTGAATGATTAAGCTCTTCCCGATGTTACTTTACAAAACATTTAAATTCCTTATTGACTAGAATACGGGTTTATTTCATATTTAGTGTTCTGTTTGCCAGACGTAGTCTGAATCCTCACAATACTTGGAGGAAATGAAAAGCTTCGTAAGCAGAAAGGATACATTTCCTCAACACTTTTTATATTTTTCTTTACTTCTTTTCTTTGTCACAATCAAAAAGGAAATAAAGACAAACGGAAGGAAGAATATTATCTTATTCACTGCATCTAAACTACCAATTTACGATTGTATGTTGCTTCTATCCCTTCATCCCGCCTTGTATGGACACGAACCAGCTAATAGCCGAGACCATTTTCGTCCTTGTTCTTGTCATTTTACATGCTTTTTAACATTTTATTCTTCTCTTTCAATCTTCACTTCTTGTCTTTCACTGTTTTGAGGCTATTTTCATGAGTAATTCCACAAAAACACTTTATTACAAATTTATTTTGCATTTGCCATCACCTAATCACTCCTATGGGAGCAGAATGTAGTAGAGAATTGGTAGTGTAAGTCAACGGATAAGAAGCTTAGCAAGAGAATTTATGAATATTTCCAATTATAGTTTTGGACAGACAAGCAACGACTTCAATCATTGCCATTTTAGGCATTACGCTTGAAGCAGCTCACAAACGTCTCTTTAAAAGGGCTTGCTTGTTCCGTTTCAGTTAGTGAAGAGCTCATTTCCTTAAATAGCCGTTCGTTATAACTATCTCGAATATCTTGTTGCTTTACTTTGCTCTGCTATATTCCTCTATTAATTACTAATAAGAGAACTTAAGTGTGAGAGAAGATGTCTTCAAACAGATTTTCCAGAGAAACTGACCCGAATAAAGAGAGAGAGGTTGAAAGAGAGAGAGAGAGAAAGAGAGAGAGAGAAGGAGAAGATTGGAGGGAAAGTTGAATGAACAGAAGTAACTTAATCATTCCAGAATAGTTCGAAAGCCGTTCCGGTTTTCCAATCATTCTCATTTCCTCTCTTCTGTCATACAAGCTTAGAATAGTGTTTGAATATTTCAATTATCCTCATCATTTCTTCTTACGGTTATTTCCATTAATCAAAAGTTCGGCGATGTCGTCAAACGCAATATCCATCTGAAGTTTATACGTTGATTGTTTGTGAAGAAAATATTATATAGATTTATGCTTCAACCAAGTAATTTTCATATAATTATATTGAAATTTGGCATTTTATCCAGTTTTCATCCTTTTCTCTTCTCCTCTCTCTCTCTCTCTTTATATATCCTTTACTCTCTCTCTCTCTCTCTTTTCATATTCATCTCTTTATGTCTGAATTTTATTAACTGATTTTTCAACGACTCTTTAAATGCCAGGTTGTGAAATCGGGTCGGTTTAATGGAAGAAATCAGACTAGACTTGCAAAAAGGAGTATGAAGTAAAAGGTTAAATGAGGAGAGATAGAGAGACAGAGAGAAAGAGAATGGAGAGAATGAAGATATTGAGGTAGAATGAGCGAGATTGAAAGGGATATGAGGAAGGAGAGAAAACCAGAAGATAGAGAGGATGGCTTCCACAACATTCAAACAACAATCTGCTTTTCTCATTTTGCTAAAAGTTTTTTTTTATTTAAATAATTAAGAGATGAAGGAAGACGAATTATTTGATGAACGGAGAAAAAAGAGAGACGACGATGAAGATTTTTCATTATTGAACGAGAAGAAGATGAGAAATTGTGTGTAATTTGAGGTAATCGCAGTCTTTTATCTACCGTTCAAAATACTAATTTGCCTACCCTAAAGAATCTAAGATGACATAGCTTGATAGTGAATTCTTATATTCTGCATGTCATCTACCCTTTGCATATGACAGCCGAGCCCTTTTTTCCTCGTCTTTTTTTCTTCTTCCTCACTTATTTATTTCAGTTCATTCTAAATAAAATAATGTTGCAATGAAGTGAAGAGAGGGTAACAGAGAGAGAGAGGGACTTGTGTTTAAAAAATTTGGAAACATTTTTGGGTGTTGTTGTTCGTTCTTCCATATTCATCTATCAAATTTAGCTTCTTTTGGCACCAAGCTTTGTGTCAGAAGAGAAGAATTTCTTTTCCGGATGCTTTATCTTCTAGCTGACATGCTTTCTCTTATATCAACAGCAGCATTGAAAGAATGCTAGCATTGTGTGGTAACTCTTGTGTTCATCGTATTCATTTTAATATGTCTTTTAATAAAATTGTTACTATGTCTTATTATACTCATACATTGTGTTACAGATACATATGAATGCACAAACTTCTTTTTTTATTCTTGCCATCTCCATTTTAGGTAAGTTGCAGTCTTCAATTCAATTGAAACTCACATAAATAAATTCATTTGACTCATTTTGCAAATTAGTTTTTTCATTTGCAAACACAACCGATCTCTTAACGTCTTCATCCGAAATGAAATTTTAACACGCCACGAGTTCCGTTTGAATTAGAATCAATCAATATGCAAATTTCAGCTATAAACTGTTATCCGGCCACAGCAGATGAAGAGAACGAGCCTAAAACAGATCTATTAATCCCGTTATACTCGACGACTGTACTATCATGTAGCTCAGTGTTCCAAACTGTCAATAAGACAGCTCATTGGTTCAAAAATGGAAAACAGGTCGCAACTGTCGGAAGGTAAGCTTCAGTTATGGTCTTAATTACACCCATCTGTCTACAGTGAATATAACGCTGTATACATGAACAGATCAGGAGAAACAGAAAACATACCGGAAGTTGGATTCCTAATATTGAAAAATACCCAAAAAGGTGAGCTGCTACCTGTATTTGCAAAGCCTGATACCTTTCTGCAGATGATCAAGGCTTGTATCACTGTGAATCAGCTGATGAACCGTCGATTACCGGGAAGATATTTGATTTGAAAGTTGCTTTTGTCGATTCACTACCACCCACTGGATCCATTTACTACTACGTAAGTTTGAAAATTAATTAATCTTTCAAATAAATGTTCTTATGTTAGCCGGAAAAGCCGATCGTCGGAGAAGAGTTTTATGCGCACGTGTTCATGCCCCCTGCATATCCAAAACCATCGGTTGTATGGCTATTGGTAATGAAAGAATTGAAGAACTGTGAGCTTCATAGAATGAATCGTTTCAGAACGGGGAGCCAATTGAATATATATCATCTGAAACTTCAATTGATTCAAATGGAACTCTATTTATAAAATACTTATCAAATCTCCATATTGGCAAATTAGAATGCATCATATCAAATTTTGCAGCCAAAACGTCAACATCTAAGGAACTACTGCCAATTACCATTGCAAAGAGTTAGTTCCCTGTTGAGATGAATATGACACCGTTAATGCTTCAGATAACTCTCCATCCAACAATATCATTTCTTGCGGGAATATGGTGCGCATAAAGATTTTATGGTTCTTGATAGGATGCTTAGTGACAAGGTAATTACGTTTGATTCGTTTAATTAACATAAAGATAATGTTATAGCTTATGTGTTCTTATCTATTTACTATGCGTTTTGATGATTCTCCGGCCGAACCATCAACGTGCTACTCTTCGCCCTATACAATGGTTCCAAACCCACCCTTTGCTTGCCCCAGGATTTCGTAAGGTCATTACCCCAACACCTGATATATTATTCCCAAGACAAGGTGATATATAGTTAATTATATGTAAATATGCACATATAGCTGAAATCTCAGATATACGGGTTGATGTTTCTTAAAGCAAATTGAATAAAGTTTTATATAGTACCGGCTGTAATATAAGGGAACCAGGTTGCAAATAGAACAATCAGCTCTTATTCTTTTCTGAAGTCTTGCTTTCATTTTCTTTTCTATTTCGGAAGTTTCTCTCATTCTTAAGGCACTGCTCCTTCTATTTGTCAAATTATTTGTAGAATAGTGTCTGGAATTGAAAAAATGAAGGGACATGATACATCCGGTGTCAGAAATTCATTTTTTTTCAAGAAACACAACCGCTCTGCACATTCATAAAATGGAAAATGAGAACAAGTCAAGTGACTCACGTGAGATTTCACTCAATCCACGTAAATATGCAAATATATCAAATTTCCAACATTTCCAGTCCAAAAATGTTTGGAACCCAAAATATTTATAATTAGCATACAAACTTATTGTGCTAATTAAGCTACTGAAGCTATAAAATAATTCGAGCTCAATTAAATTTGAATTTTAATGAAATTGAGCAAAATTATATAAGAGAAGCTTTAAAAGATTATTTTCTTTTCCTTTTTTTAATCAAAAGACAAGCAACAGATTTCCAGTCCGATGATTCGTCATCGAGAAAGAAGTCTAAAAACAGACCGGTTCATCTCTGAGAAATTGAAAAAAAAAGTTTATTTTGAGCTTAAACCTCTCGATAATCATTTTAATTCTTTTCCAAAATATTTGAATTTTTCCTAATTTTTTTTGATTCATAAAAATTGAAAATGAAGCTTTTTCAATAGTAACTCTGGGGTTTCTAATCATTCCAACTTTCTTCCAGCTGACCCTTTGATTCACTTTCCTGTTTGATTTACTTGACTCTCTCTATTTTTCTTTTCTTCTCTCTATCTACACCTCTCTCTCTCCATCTCCCTCTGTCTTCCTCTCACATTATCCTTCCTTCTAATGTTCCTCTCTCACCCCCATCAGTTCTACAATGGTCATTCTATTGTATTGAGGTTGAAAACAAACAAAACCCTAGAATTGCCAACCTCTGTTAAATTAGAAAAAAGATTTGTTAGTAACAGAGTTATGAAAGAAGCGGTTTGTTGTTCTTTTGCTTTATTTAGTTTCTCCCGTGTGGGGTAATGACTTACTCTTCTCATAATCCCTCCATTCTAGGCTTGCTCTGAAAGCTTTTGTTGCTTGTGTGTGTCGTCTTTGGCTAATCTGCTTCTTCTAACATCTCTCAACCTTTCTTTCTTTGTCAACACCGCTTCTGCTTCTGCTGAAGTCGTGATCTGTCCATGAGCAGTTTTCCGTTATTCACCGTTTCTTTGTTTTTCCCACAGTTTAATAGGAGAGAAACTGACGATGTCTCGAGAAGGAAACCTCTTCTCTCGCTTTCTCTTTCAATCTCCTTTTCTGTCATTATCTTTCTTTCTCTTTCAATCTCTTATTCTCTCTTTCTTTACGTTCTCTTCGTTTATCCCCTTACTTCCATCTCCCCCCACCCACCATCACATCATCCATACACACTAAGGAGGACAAGTCTCCTTCACCGAAGAGGGCGGAGTCTTCGTCATAGAACTCAATCAAGTACCAGCAGCTCCTCATCCCCTTTTCTTCATCTTTTGCATAACAGTCACTCATCATGTTCATGTTTAAGCATTTATCATACTTTCCCAAATTAACTTTTGATCATTTCAGATGATTCCATCAAATAACTTTTTAATTACTTTAACTGTTTTGTTATCATCTGTCTATGCTCAAGAACTAGCAACAGAAGCTTGCAAAGCTGCCTTAGAAGCATGTGAAAATGATCTCGAATGCTCCAACCGATTGACTCCGTTGGTAGCTGCCTGGTAAGTATTCTTCATCTATTCTACCAACTATCACATATAATATGTCAAATTCTCTGTATGTAAGAAGAAGTTTTCTCGTTTTCGGATTATGTCTGTTTCATCAAATGCCAAAGTCCATTATTCGACCGTCTGAATACAGATGGATTATATTCTCAATAATTCATTGTTTGGCTCTCTCATACAAAATCCATTTTCTTATATTATAAACCGTAATAACACATGAGAATTATTAAATTTTCAAGTGTTTTGTCATTTCCTCTCTCTCTCATTCTTTCGATTACCTGCTTTGCTACCGTTTCATTCACTCTCTCTTTTGCCTCATAATCTCTCCTTACAATCTCCCAGACTCTTTCTACGATCTCTTTCGACACCTTTGAAGCCTTGTTCATAACGAAAATTTCACAATTTGAACAAAAAAAGTTGAAAGAATGTTAGTTCAAACAATCGGACCAGCTAACTGTCCTTCTTTTCATTGCAAAAATATCGTTTTCCTTTTTGTTGACGAAAGGCTGAAGCATTGAACTGTCGTCATCGTCTTCCATCCAGATTCTGTTCTATCTAATGATGATGCAAAACTCTTTTGACCTTTTTTAAAAGTAACAATATTTGCATAATATTAAGATATGTACTTAAATTAACGATCAGATGTGCTAATACAGAAGTCAAAATAATATTTGATTAGCTCATTATATAGTTAATCATATACATATAGTTAACCATCTCTTTCAAATCTTCTTCATCATCATCATCATCTTCATTCAAATTCATTTATACAACTAAAAAAAACTTGAAATTCTTTTGTTTGGTGACCTCAAAATTGGAAATTTCTATAAGAAACGGAACAAATAAATGAATTTTTATATTTCCTTTATAAGAATAAAAAAAATATTTTTTTTGTGTTTACATTCGACAAAATATGTTTTGTGTGTGTGAGGTGGCTAAGTTTTAAGTCTTTTAAACTATGAAAATATAGGATAGAGGTGGTCATTTTCCCTCTCTCTTTCTTTCTCTCTCTACCTCTCTATCTCTCTATCACTCTCAATATGTGTTCGTTCAGAGGGATAGAGAGAATAAGACAACGATACGATGGAGAGGTAGAGAGGCAAAAGTGTTGGATGATGTCTATAATTCGGACGATTGTTTGTAGATCATTGAAAACTCTCACAGAGCCGACTCAAATGTGCACGTTCGCACAACAAAAAGAAGTGCGAAAGAGCTTGTGAAAGAATGAACGATTACTATTGAAGAGTTGAGAATAGATAGAGAGAAAGTGTATATGAGATTGGTGAGAGAGTGAGGAAGTTCTCTCTTTCTTTCAAAATCCAAAAGGTGGACAAGAGAAAGAACAAAAAGCCAAGTACTTTATTCATTTAAAATCATCTTGAGCAGAGCCTTTTCTCGCCTCTTATCTCATTGCTTGGTCAGTTCGTTAACGACGAGAAGACAATGGACGGGAGATAGAAGGAAGAACTTGTTCGTTCGTGAAGAAAAAAAAATTTGTTTAAAACAACCTCAAAAGAAAGCAACTCATCTTTTCTGTTCATTTCACATAAAAAACTTCAATTTTTGTGAAATCACTTTGAAGAAAGAGAAACATTAAGATTATTGGAAAGAGATTGTTGTCATGTGTATTGTTCCCCTGAGGCTATACATGGATATCTCACAGTCTTAAAGCTGTGACAGATGACATGATTTCAGATTTTTATCGAATATTCTCATCGAAACAAGCTAAATCCAACAAGTTGACAGAGTTCTGTACTTTCATCTTCCAAAATTTAAGCTAATTTTATAAAAATAATTATTTCTTTTCCCTTATTTGATCTTGTTTCCAAACAACCCAAACAAGATTTCTCATTCAAAAACCTGTCTATTTTCGTTTAAATAAGGTAATTTTCCGTGTAAACTAAACAGAAAAAGTTTTTTTTACGAAAAAAAAGAGAAAAAAAAAGGAAAAGCTTAATGGTATTTGCATAAATCGAAATCTTTGCAGCTCAACATCGACATGTCAACCTCAATGTAGAAATGCTGTTCTGAACGTTTATCAAAACAAATTAGGAAGAAACCTTTTAAGGTAAATGCCTCTTGAACTGAAATTGATGAAAAACGAAAACTTGCAGATCGGATGCTTCATGTATTCACGGAAGAGAAGAACTGAGAACTTGTAACTTCTTACCCACTGGTGATCAAGTTCATTGCAGTTTGGCTAAACTGGCTTGTGAAGCTGACTTACAAGTATGCAAATATAGTCCAATCACATTCATAACATTATAATTCAGTGTAACTCCAAATGGGGAATCTTCTTCTCCGAATGTGAAGCTGAAACTGGACGAGGAGAATGTTCTCCAAAATGTGCTGGATTCTTACGAGAAGCCACATCCACTCCTCACGGACAAGCTTTCATCAACTGTACTTGTACCGACAGAGAAGATCAATTATGTCATAACTTGAAGAATAATGTTCTGAATGTTTGTAACAAGGTATTTGTTCTTCTATTTACATCAAAAACATTAATATTATCTTATCTTCAGCCAACTGCTCCGTCAACTTCTGTTGATAACAACTCAGTCATTGAGAATTCAAACGATTCAATGGAGCCATCAGCAGCTTCCACTTCATGGCCTTTCCATATTATTCTTCCAACCATTATGATGTATTTTTTGTTGTCAGCAAGTCTTTTTCTCAATTTTTAAATAATTAACTTTATATTGATTTATTGTAAATATTCCGAAGACCTCATGTATCCGGTTAACTCATTCGTCAAATGGCTAGTCTTCCTTTTCTCTTTCTCTCTCTCTATCTGTCTGTACTCTCACACATTACTGTCAGCTTCCCGTGCTCAAGGCGGTTGTTAATTTATTTATTTAATAAACTATATTAACTATACTATATACATATATTTAATATATGTATATGTATATTACAGATATATTATGTATTCTATTTTATTTAAACAAAAGACAATTCCGCCACATATAAAGATAAGATATAATTCTTCGTTTCCATTAAACTTTCATATTTTCCAAAATACCCTTTGTGTCATAAGACGAGAGGCTTTTGAGCTAAAGATAAAATGAGTTCATATCAGCTATTAAATAAGAATGATGATAACAGCACATTTCTATTATTGTGTCATTGCATAAGCGTCTGAACTCCTCCCACGCTTCAACCTCATCTTCTCCATAAGCTTCTTTTGAACATTTTTTTTTATATAAAACAAAACATATTTTCATTCAATATTTGTACTTAATTGTTAATTACTAAGTACTTCTTCATTCATTTACCTTATTTCTATTCTATCTATTTCATTTATAGATATGGCTAATGAAATCACATTTCATAGTCGTTATGATAACAAGTAAGAGCTAATTTATGCTAATTTATCATGCTTTTTATAGTTCACAACGCATAGACTTTGATAAAAGTGTTAAAAAGAATTGGAAAGCTCCTGTTAGAAGTTATGAAGTTGATAAATCTTCGCTTTCTAGTCGAACAGGTTCATTTTAATCATTTTCTTATCTTTTACCCTTTTTTTTCTTCTTCTACTCAGCTTCTCCAATTGAAAAAGTTAAAGAAATTGCTGAAAAATCAGGAACTGCTTTGGATGAGAATCTGCTAGCAGACCTTAAAAGGTAAAAACATTCTTTGTTCATTATCAATTCTCACACAATCTCTTCTTACAGCGTTTTCAGCGGCAAGAATGTTCATGAAGTTAATGGATATCGCCGAAAGATGGTTGAAGAAATGTATTACAAAGTAATTTTGAAAAAAATAAAGAAAAAATAGAAGGAAATCGTCCTTTTCCTTGTTCAGACTCAGAATTTAATATCAGATGCAGCTGAAACCTATTCGATGTCATATTTCTTGGCACAGGTAAGTGGATGGTTCAATATCTCATTGTATGTGATATCTAAGGAGAATTTATCAAACTCGGATATGCCTAAATGGAAAAAAGAATTGGTAGCAAAGAAGAAATCGGCAGAAGCTTTATGTGATTATGAAAGAAATGCATGGGTAGCTTTGATCTTCTTATATAGTTTATATAATGTATGTAATAGGAGGAGTTCATGAAATGGAAGAAGCGATATGCTCCGTCAGTAGCCTTGCAACCTGAATTTCATTATTCTTTAAAACCTAAATTAAAATAAATTTGATATTAAAACACAATTAACACGCAATCTGACTGATATTTTTCAATTTTTTCGTTAAATGAGCTAATTATCATAATATGCAAATTAGCTAAGTCTCGTAACATACGTGGCATGACGTCGGCAGAGAGATTTTAAAAAAATTTTTCATTTGATTCTGATTGTGCTTAATGAACGGTTGCAATATACCAAAAGTTTGAAATTCTTAATAATCAAATTATAATTATATAATATAGTTACAATATTAATTGTATAGTCTAGACACGAAGGCCCCTTCATATAGGTATAACTTAAGATAATATCCCATTAACTATGCTAAATATAGGTGAATTGTTAGCTTAAGTCGTCTGAAAGTTCGTCTGTTTACGGCAAACGTTTCCCCCAATATGGTTATGTAACGATTAAAACTGAATAAACAGTATAAAGAGTTAACTAGAAGATATAGAGTTCGTGTTGCGCCATAAGCATCTTCAACTGCATTGGAATGCAGCTTATGGAACATCAAAGCGTTTGTACATTTACAGACGAATATCGTTGATAACTATACCGTATCCAAATGAATCATATAATCAGGAAAAAATGGAAAGTTATTTTGCTTGTACTTAGTTAGTCCATCAACATCTTATCTTGAAAGTGTTTGCAAATCTTCATCATCATCATCGTTGTGTCTTCTTTTCATCTTCATCATCATCATCTTCTTCTTTTTCATCTTCTTCTCCTTCTTCTTCTCCTTCTTCTTCTTCTTCTTCTTCTTCTTCTTAAATCATCTGTTATCCTCTTTTAGGATTTATTTCTTAGAATAGAAAATCAAAAATATTTTACAAAAGATTAGTTATGTAATCAAGTCGGTGAGCTGGCCAACAGAAGTCCATCTTCAAGTAAGGTAATCTGACCTATGTGACCCTTGACTCACGAAATTCATAGGTCAATCGATGTTATTATGTTTTTTCTTTGTAATTTTATTTTTTCAAAAAATCTAAATAAAATAATTTTTTTTATAATTATGACAAAGTCAGTTGAAGATGGAGGGAAGAAGATGGCGGGTGTGGGGGGGGGGGGGGGGGGAAAAGGGGGGGGGGGGGGGGGGGGGGGGGGGTGCAAAGAGGAGTGTGTAGCAAATCATTATAAATGTCTTCATTTTTTCTTATTCTTCAAATAATTCAAAAGGTCATCCGACTTCTTATTTGGAACGGTTGACAAAACAAGATCTTTAAAACAAAAATTAGCAGATTCAATTCATTTGCAAACGGGTTTTTAATGAAAATTCTTAGAAAACTATTTTATCCTTTGATGCTAACAGGCTTCTTCAAGCCTTTTTTGACCTTAAACAGCCGTTTTCTCTTTTTTTATAAATACATATATTCATATATATTATGTGTGTTTATTAGTGTGGAATGTATGTGTGAATGAGTGAATGTGTACTGCTGACTGCATCATTGCTCTAGATGTCATTCCAAATAGATTTCCTTATCAATTCATTCTTGGGAGGATGAAGCTTGTGACGGGATTACCAAAAAAAATAAAAAAAAAGCAATATATATATATATATATATATATATATATAAATATATATGTTGGTTAAGAGGATAATATAGAGATGAATGGATGAAAGTTTTTTTTTCTTAATTTTTCGAGCAAAACGCTCATAAGAACAATCCCGTTTTCATCATCTTTTGTGACAAGAAGGAACATTTGTCTTTCATCATATCTCTCAACCAATGAAGCTTCTTAGTCTATTGGTGAAAGCTTAAAAAAGTAAAAAATTAAAATAATATTTGATGTTTTACTTGAAACATTCGCTTAATTGACGTCAGAATCTTAATTATACACATCATCCAATGTCTAAATGATATCCTTTCACTTGGCTATTTGACTCATTTAAACATCACATTTCAGGCTGAATTTGATATTTTTATAAACTTCCATCATACATCTTTCCATTTATAACATTTTTTAATTTTCTAATACAACACCATATACAGAAAGAGGAGGAGAATAAAGGAAAGAAGGAAAAAAATTTTCATCCGATTACGTGAGCGAAGATTGTGGGCGGAGTCAAGTTCGTTTAGGGAGGGTGGAGCTTTGGTTAAGACAACGAGGTGCAAGGAAGACTTTGGCTATATTGTGAGAGAGCAAAACGGGAACGGTTTCCCGACTTTTTCTTCTTTTTTTTCCTTTTCCATAGAGATTTTTTTTTATTTTTCAAAATAAAAGAAGAGTTCCTTTCATTCTATCAAGACATCCCATATTCAACCGAGTCCTGTCTTGCTCTCTCTGTCCCTCTTTCATAACCAAATCTCTATATAACCACCGTCACTCTTTCTCTCTCTCAATCTGTCTTTATTTCATTTTCACTCTCTTCCTCTCTTTCTTTGATTTACCTCTTTATTTCTCTTGAATACTCAATCCAACATATTCTCAACTAAACTATACACAGGGAATTAAGCTTCTTCTTATAACCATATTTGTAAACAAAGTGACCAAGGTAACAAGAGTTGATGGTTTCTCGCGGTTTTCTAATAATTTTTCTTCTTTAAAGAGTTTGTACTTCTTCAAGAAACGAGAAAATGTTTTTGTATAAGCATTTATTCCTTTTCTTCTTCGTATTTCTGACAGTCTGTACGGTCATACGCTCTGTACCTTTCCCAATAGCTGAAGGAAGCTCTTCATTTGATCGTCCGCACCATGCGGTCGGTGAAGAAAGAGCTCGTCGCATTTGTGGAAATCAGTTGTTAATTCATTTGAGTAAGCTTTGTCGTGGAAATGGATTTTTCGGAGTCAAAACTCTGGCTGAAGGTCAGTTCCTAAGGTTTACGGTAGTTGAAAAAGAAACTTTGTCGCTTTCAAATTTCATCAAAATAGAAATTTGTTCCGTAAACAGCTCAAGAGGATCGTACGTACGGAAGACGAATCGTTTGTAAAGGGAGACTGAGAGAGAGAAGATGAAAGTAAAAGAGAAAGCAAGAGAGGGAGATAGAGAGATAGGTGGATTGTAGAAAGAGCCAGTAGTTATAATGAAAGAATTTCAAAAATTTCGAAAATTCAAAGGAATTTTTGAATAAAATCATAACTCAAAGATTATAAGCGTGCCTTTTCCAGATACTGTCGACCAAGGTGGTCCACCAATAGATAAGAAAGGAATTGTATTCCATTGCTGTTTGGTGGGTTGCTACGACAGTTACATGACAACATTCTGTTCAAAGGTTGGTTTCGAGATCATATTTTTAAAAATTTGCATGTAGCATGTTGCTTTGTCGTTTCATTTGATGTGTTCGTGTTTCATTTCAGAGTTCTTGAAGAAGAGATCTCCTTGTCTCCCTTGGTTTACAAATTGGATACGTTTTTTTGTTTTTTTTCTGTTGTAAAGTAATGTCAAAGCATGTATACCGTATATGGTGATATCTATGGACAATCACTTCATATTTTTAATCATTTTCATTGTTTTCTCGGTGAGCTAAAAGCTCTTTTGTGTTTAAGCTAAGTTCCTCTTACTTCCTAATAAGGAGTAGTACATACTTGTTGTTGATATAATCCCACTCCCCTCAATTGTAGTTGCATGCTCTATTCACTTCATTAAAACAAAAAAGCGAAGAAGAAAAAATGGTTTCGAAAGGAAAGTTTCTGAAAACAGATATATTTCAGAAGCCTCAATGATTTTAAGACAGAATCTTAAAGAATTCTTAATGGTACGGTGATATCCCCGATCTCCTTCAATATTCCGCTCGTAATGTAAAAAGGCATTGTTTGTGTGAATGTTGTTCCAAATAAAAAAAAATAAATTTGTTAAATTGGTGAAGTTTTCAATAAGCTATGAGATTATGCAGCGGAAGCTGAGATAGAAGTCAAAAAAAATGAGGAATCTTAAAAATCTCTTCAGCTCAGAATCAATTTGATGCAAAAAGTTTACAACACATTTTTCTCTGTTCAGAGCTTTGAGCTGTAAGGCTAAGGAAGAAACTCTCTGGACAGCCGTGTCAAAGAACAAGTGATAATGAGAGATTTACAGAGAAAATGAGATACAAAGAGATAAAAGAAAAAGAAAGAAAGACAGAATAAGAAAGTTCTTTTGCTATAATACTTCTTCTCTCCTCCTCCCCCGCCTCTTCTTTTCACAAATTCTCATATTTTTCTCAATTTTTCTTACTTTTAAGTAATCTAATTCAATTGTCTATATACTTATATACATTGTATTATAGATTATTAGTTGTTATTGTTGTCTTTTTAAATTTCTCATTTTTTATTTGTAAAATAAAAAATGACGGAAGAAGATGAAGAGCCAGCTGCATCTTCATCTTCTTCAACGTTGGATTGGAAAAAAATTTTTGAACTAGCTCAAGATCCAGATATTGAAGAGTTACTATTAGGTCCGATTGAGAGCGCCATTAAAACCTTGGAGTAAGTTTTTGTTTCTTTTTTTAAACGTTTATTGATTGGAGTTATAAGCCTAAGAGCTTCATTACACCATACGTTTAGTACAATAAACAGTTGACAAATGCTTTATGAACTTTAGTATTAAAAATATTATTTTTAAGAGAAGGAAAAGAAGTTCAGAAGATTCATGTCATCCGTAATCTTCCTTCTCTGCTCGAGTCTCATGGAGATGAAGCCATCGAAAGTGTCATTCCTGCCATTCAAGTAATTCATCCTATAAACTATTTTATGCATCCTTTACGTACTTCTAGAACACATTGAAGGAAGAAAGAGAAAACTTTGACATTCATTGTGAAGCTGCCGTTGTCTTCAAAGCGATTCTCCAAAATGATTCTATCTGCAATTCATTGCCGTAAGCTTTCTTTTGTAAACTTCATGACAACCTTTCTTATAACAGGGGATTAGCTCATGTTTTACTCAAAAACATTTTGGATAACATCTCGCCACCAAAGGAACCAGGTAGTTCAATTTCATATATCATTCGTTAAACTCATTGTTGTAGGATCAGAGAATAGAGTTGTCGTGCACATCGGCGATGGTCCCCAAGTTCGTAACCGTGAGTTTTGTATGCAGCGAATTGCCAATTAATTTGAACATGTTGAAGTGAGTATTGCTGCTTGGTTGGAAACGTTGGTGGATATTGCTGACAGAGTATCAACTGATGCTCAAAAACAATATGTGAGTTACCAAAAAAAGATTTCATTCAATTATTAAATACTTAAAGATCATTCCAATTGTTCAACAACAAGCAGACCCATCTCAACGTGTTCAAAGACGAGTAATTGCCACTAAATTGCTTCATAAATTAGCTGAAATTCTTCCACCTTCTGAGTAATACTATATTTTGTTTTCTATATTTAGTTCAAAACATTTGCAGAGTAAGAAAAGAGTTGGCTTCTGTTGCTCAAACCCTATCTCATGATCCTAACAGTACTGTTCGTACAGCAATGGCTCAACGGTTGCCGGTTATGGCAAAAGCTTTAAAGTATTTCTTTGTTCACATGAAATTCCTTTGATTCTTTTTTCTTCAGAAATTCCACAGATTGTGTGTCCTTGCTTCTGCCTTGTTTAGTTCAGCTATGTAATGACGATGACTGTCTTGTTAAAGAAGCTTCTTTCAATAACTTATCCCAATGGTTTCCATTCTTAACCAAAGGTTTCTTTTGCACTTCTATTTAACTAAGCCGTTTGTTCAGAAATCAAAAGAACAACTATCTTTCCTCTAATCAAGAAGTCGATAGAACAAAGTATCGACAAGTTTGACGATCTGCTTATGACCTTAACCAAAAACTTAGGAGAATGGTATGTGACATCCATTTACTTCTATTTTCAAAAACATTCATTGCTTTCAGGGTTTTCCTTTTGATGGAAAATCTCGATCAATTGGATTTAAGCTGGGTATTAAACACATATCTAAGAGTTTGTAATTTGGTGATGAAAACATCTGAAAGCAAAAGTGATTCGTTGACTTTGATGTGTAGAAGGATGTGCGCTTACAACATTCCAGTTAGAACTCTTATTTTCTGATCTATTAATGTTACTAAATTATAGTGCTTCGTAGAGCTTTTCCCCAAGGCTTTTGACAAGATCTTGCCTGTTTTCACTTCCTTCTGCCATGATGCAGGTATATCTCAGTTGAACGTTCAACAAACTTTTATTTCTGTTGAGATGTTGATGTGAGATTGTCAATGGCAGCTTCTTTCCATGAAATTGTTACTCGGAGGCCTGAAAGAGATGAGCTACTAACTCCTTTCATAGAACTGATAAGAGGAGGCTCCTTGGAAGTGGTTGGGAAAATAGCATATCATATGGATAAATATTTACCAATCTTGTACAAGCTAACCAAGAGTCCGAAACCGGTAGGCAACTACTTATAGAGAGAAAGGTCTTATGCTAATGATTCAAGAAAGTTTCCCAAATCCAGTTAGATCGTCTTCTTGTTGGATGTAATCAGTTGCTTCGAGGTTCTGGAGCATGGAGGGCACATGAAGCATTATTAAAGCATCTATCAATATTAACAAACGTTCTTTCATATAAACAATTATTTGATACATTCATTCCATTCCTTCAAAAAGAAGTTTTGACAGTTGTAAGTTCTCAAAACTATTTTCCTCCATCTTACAAATGAACTATTTCAGAGGGCAATACCATGTCGAAAAGCTGCAGCTTCTACCCTTCTTCTCTTCATGCGACAGAACCCTGACAAGAAAGAACGAGAAAATGTCATAAACTATCTCAAAAAAGGTTTTTTGAACACATTTCTCAATTTCACTAACTGATTCTATTCAGAAATTGGGGAACACACTTGTTCGTATCGTCGATCGTTGTTCATCGATATTGCTCAAATAGTTTTGGAAATGTTCAGTCGGCAGTTCTTCATCGAGTACTTTCTTATAGATTTACTCAAGATGACGGATGATTCGAATGCTAATATAAGGTTTAATATAATTTAATATTTTAATTGCAATTATTTTCTAATACAGATTGAAAGCTATTCGATTATTGCCAATTGTCAAAACAAATCTTCTTTTACCTGATGACGATACGACACTCGTCGATTTGGAAAAAGCCGTTCGATCAACTCTCTCCAATGAAAAACAAAACTTTACCAGGCAACTCATGCAAAATGTTTTTATTTTGTTGTGAACTCAACGAACAACCGATTCATATAGGCTGCCTGTGATCTGTCACGCAATGATTCTCTTCAAAAGGAAAACTTATCAAATCAAAAGCGATTAGAAGAAGAGAAGCAATTGTGGTCTGAGAAAAGGAAAACACCTGTTGAAGATGAAAACGTGAAATCTCCCTCACCTCCAGAAGAAATCAAAGTGGATAAATTGACCATTTCTCAGTATTCAAGGTCAATTTCTCCATCCCCATGGAAACAGCAACGAAAAACAATTGCTGTTGTTAGACCTCAACCTGTGGTTGTTTTCAGGTAACTTAAGACGTTTTCAACATTATTCATTTCCTCAAATTTAAGATCAGCTAGCCCTGTACCGAAAATTTTTGATGGAGGAAGGCCAAGTCGATTACCCTTAAGTACAGCAAATAGAGATAGAGACGTTTTAAAGAAAAGTAATTGAAAATAAAAGAAAAACCTAATGGAAAACTTCAGCTGTCACTGACTTACCCACGCCCCGATCATCTCGCATACGAAGTACTATGACTATGTCGCAAGAAGGACCGTCTAGTGGTTCGATGAAGCATTACAGAAATTTTGAACAAAACTGCGTTTTACAGTAACCCCATCATCTCCTACATCTTATGGATTAAGGCGGTCAGCGACAACTTCCACATTTGGCTCTTCAATTATATCTCATTCTCATGCTTTATCTTCTTCAAGGTTGGTCATTAGTCGACAACATTTGTTAAGGTTAATTACAGGTCGAGCTCTTGCCTTCGACGACCAACATATGGTCTTTCACGAGTATCCAGTCATAGCACGTTTGAACGTAAACCTCCTCAATTGTCGTTAAGAGTTAAAGAATCATGAAAACGAAGAAAATTTATAGAATAATAGATAAAATATTGAAGACTAATCCTTCAATAAAGTTTCTGACGATCACATGCTTCTCACTCATACAGCTCCCATATCATAGCTTTATCAAGTTATCCTTACTCCAAACAATAAAGTAGTTGTTTCCATTTAAGAGCTTGGGAATATCTGGAATGTCTATGTCTAATTTCCATTTCAAGATTAGAGAGTTAGTGATCGGTTGTGCAATAATTCATTTTTCCAATCACTAAATGAACTTAGCGGTGTGATAGTGCTCATCTTACTAAATCAACGAGCAGAACATGTCGTTGTGCTGACGATTTTTGAAACATCTTTGAATAATTATGAAAAAAACTAAATTTATATAGGGAAATAAGTATTTATTAAATTAGATCAGATATAACACACGTAATAATATCATTTTGTTTTATTAAATGAATGGATGAAACGACAAAGAAAGAACGAACAAACAGAAGAATATGTTTTGAGTATCGAAAGTTGAATTATGTGTGTGTTATCCAAAAATTCTTATAATTTTTGAATAGATGAACCAGTCATTTATCGTGTAGAGCAACATATCGTTATAGTCGGCTATAAGTGGAAATATTATAATTGAATAGTATTATAAAATTAAACATACACTTGTTGATTGTTCACACGAGTATCCACGTGGACATTGATTTGCTCTGTTCCTACTACATAGTCTCGGCTGATTATTCAGCAAGAAAGGTGTTCCTATGGGGCATCCCATTGTTGTTGCTAATCGACAACAAATGAAAACTCCAGAAAAAGATGAAGGTGTACAAGAATAGCCTACTGGGCAACTGAAATCATGTATAAATTTGTTAAAGTAGCATTCTTTGCATATTCGCAATACCTTGTGTCTCTAGGCGAAGAGCAGGTCCTTGGTTGTGCATCGATGGCATTGCGATGAGGGTTCCAACCAGTTGGACATTGCAAAAAATCTGTTGGCCTTGTTGGAAAAACTGTGGTAGTGCCAACTATAACACAACATAGATTTGGAAAATAGAAAGAACAAGAAGCTTACTGGGTGGCAAACAACACACGTAAACATTTGCTACTGTAGAAATTAAACATTGATACCCGAAAGGGCATTGTGTTGGGCTTGATGGAGTACATGTGAAAGTTTGACCTGGATACAGATAGTTGTTGTTACGTGAAACAGGAAACGATTACCAGAAGTTTGTACAAATGTTTCATATCCATTCGCACATCCCGCATTGGTTTGTTCGTTTCCACAACAAATATATTGTGCCAAAACTGTTGAGAAAACACATGTGTAGCCAGTCTTAAAAGTTCATTTTCATTCACTACTGAATGTTCTTGTTTACTCGACTACAAGATGACCCAGGACCACTGCATGTTTCAACAGATGCTGATGGTGTCAGCAAAGCGTTTTGATTGTTTGGACAAACTCTGATTTTTTGAATATCAAATAATATACTATATAGTTAATAAAACCTTGGAGAGGACGCTGATCGACAGCATAGAAATAGAGAATTATCATTATTAGCCTGGAGGCACACGGAACCAGATGGACAACCAGCTGGTTGAGCGGGTGAGCAGAAAATCTATAAATAACTAGATAAAGTTTTAAAACATTAGGTAAATTAACAGACAGATGCTCCTCGACTATCTAAGCTGGGTGTGAACTGAGCTGGACATGTTGGTGCAACAGGAGTTGTGCAGCATACATAAGTTCCTGTTGTTCCAACTGAGAGTTGACAAGTATAGCCAGATGGACAAGCGGACGGTTGGGATGGCAAACAATATCTTGGTCTTCCTAGTTCCTAAAAAAAGTATGAAGTCTGATGCATTAGTATGAATTCTCTGCATACCAAATAAAGAGTTTGCTGATTCGGACATGTTGCTGCGTTGTTTGTTGAAGTTGAGCAACACAACATAGTATTGAAATCATTGGAGGCTCTTTCGCAAGAATACCTATATTGTATTATTTAGAATACAATAGAGCTTGTGTTGTTACCCGGGATCGCAAGAAGCAGTGAAGATTGAGCAGGATACATAACTTAATGTTAGCGATGACTGAGCAATTGCATTGTTCGGACAGATAGGATTCACATTAGCACCTTGTGAGTAGCAACAGATGTATACGTTTGGTGAGTTGCTTGATCCCAAGCATAATGAGCTGTAAACGTTTTTTTTTACAAATTCATTAAATTTTGGTATCAGCTCACTTGAATGGGCAAGCACCCTGTTGTCCTGGTGTTGAACATATCTGATTTGATCCTTGAGATGTTAAAACAGGAGATTGCCCTGATAGAGGACAAGTAAATTGAGGTTGTTGAGCCTAAAAAAACATTTTCGAGAGCATTTTTTGTTTAAAATTTTTTTCTCTGTCCTACCTCAGCTAGTGGAGTTGAGAATGAAAGCCAACCATTATGGATTGTAGGCTGACATGAAAAGCTGAAAAACTCTTAATCAAACAGTCTGTTTATACAAAATGTTCAATTTTTTTTTGTTTAATTTAGGTAGAGTAAATTAAATTTTCAACATTTTCAAATTAAAATTCAAATGAAAATGATCATGTTGGATAATTGAAGAAGCAATTAGAAAGAAAAATAACCTCAAGAACAAAATAATAAGAAATCGTGTCATGCTTCAGCTTCTTCATCACTTCTATATCACCATCTGTATAAATAAAGAACAATGATTAATTGTTATTATATATAGAAATGAACACATAAAAAACATGAAAGGTTAAATTTTGAAGAACTGAGGGAGAATGTTGAACTTTTAGTCTGAATGCCTTGAATATGAGTCGTCGTCGGCTACTCCTCCACGTCTCATCTCTTTTTCTCTCTCTCTTGGTTCCGTGTTTTGCTTTATTTTCTGATTTTCTTTTCTTCTCTCTATCATTTGTTAAATCTACTATATTTTTCTTTTTCTCTTGTCCAACCCAACAGTATGTTTCTCTATTTGTTCAGCTATTGAGATGGCCAACCGGACATTAGAATTAGCATTCAGACGAACTAGCAATGCTCTAAATAATTCTTCTATTTTTTTCGCAAAATTTTCAATTTATTAATTTATTATTTAACGAATTAAATATTACAATTATCTTCAATGTACAAACATCTTATGTCAATCGGTTCAGTTTGGCAAGTGTTGAATGAAAATTTGAGGGAAGTTGGAGTATGTCTGCGTTCTACCTGCAGGCAAGCAGCAGATAAAATGTTGTTGAAGCAAATTGGATCTCAAACATGAAGAGTATCCTGGACAAGTTGTCTCGAATGTGTTTGGGGAGCAGTACTGAAAAAGTATGAAATGAAATTATGCTCCATATTTTCTAAAAGCTTACAATAGGCGTATTATTTGGAAGAATCCATCCAGATGGGCAATGGCTGGGTGGGTTGGGTTTTTTATGGAACTGAGATCGACAACAGATAGGAGATCCAGTGGTCAAACTGAAAACAAAAACAATATAACGATATTTTTCTGATCACTTGTTTACCTTCTCATGCATTGGCCTTCAGCACAGTCCCACTGATTGGAGAATGAGCATGATTGTGGATTGAGTGCATTAGGATAAGGAAGAGCTGAGTCTGGGCATTTGTGTTCAACCTTAATATCAGATTGTTATGAGTTTCTACTCATTTCCTCTGCGTACCTGAGCACAACAAAGACTTTGAGACACAATAGTACTTCTCAGACAAGTTGAACCTTTAGGACAAGTGTCACCAAATCTAGTTGAACAGGCGGTGAAGCGGCCTGTAAGTTAATTTTGGTTAATAAACTTTTTTTTTATGAAGTTCTACCAAAAGAGTCTTTCATAGGAGAGTAGGTGTTTGGGCAGGATCCTGGTAATGCGCAACAGACATTGTTATCCGAGCAGTGATATCCGTTAGGACATTGCTGTAACACTCAACATGACTTTCAATATATTTTGATAACAAATAGAGATCAAGGTTTTAATGATCAGTCCTTCTTATGGAATGTGCATGAAGTCAAAACAACTTACCGAATCTTTTTTACAGGAACGTGGGGTCGAATCGGACTCGGTCAAGAATGGAACTTGTCCAGTTGGACACAAGTCTATAATGAACGTATAAGAAAAGCAATTATGCAAATATAATGATTATTACATTTAACCGATAAGGATGAATTTGAATAGATTTGGAATATGATTACAAGAAGTGAGAAAAGCATTTCTCAGTTTTAAGAGCGTTCCTTGTCTTCAACGGTAATCATACAAAGAGATTAGAAAGAGAACGAAGCATTAACGCTCGAGAAACGAAATACAAAAGACGATTCTGATTTACTCAAACAGTTTGAATTGAAGCAAAAGAAAACAAACTTCTCTCGAGAGAAAGAAGTTTTTGTTTTATAAATATGAATACTTCTTACCAGCTGTATCAGTCCGGCAACACTGATACTCAGAAGTCCAAAAGTTGAAGCGACAGCTAGCTCCACCAGGGCAGGGGGGACCTCCGAGACTACATTTAAGAGAAGATCCTACTGCACTTTTCAATGGATACTGGTGTTTGGGACAACCTATATATGTAAATGGTTTATATGATTAATTAAGTTATAATAACCATTGTCTGGTTCACAGCATTGATAACGATCAATCAGGTGACTCCATTGACACATTCCTGAGCGAGGGCATGTTGTTCTCCCTGGGGTACAGAGCAATGGAGTGTCATCCATAGCATTCAGAATAATTCTTGAACCAGATGGACATCCTTGTCCTGTAAAGAACTTAGATTTTAGGAATATTTCGAATTGTTTTGCTTGTTTTCTGATTATTTCAACAAGTTTCGTTAAAAGAAATAGAAACTATAGAAGGGCTTTTCAGAATTTGCTAAGTGGTTTTTGAAAGCGAGAATCTTGTCTCAAGAATCGTTTAACTTCCGGCTAAACAGTCAATTCATCGTAGAAAAACCGGACACACCTGGATCGGCACCGCAGCAACGCCTTTGTTGAGTTAAGGAATCTGTATAACACATGGCTCCTCCTGGGCAAGCATTTGGATCTGATGGATTGCATGTTAACTCAATACCCGAACTATTGCGCAGCGCCCTTGTTCCTTTAATGGAAATGTAATGTTATATGCCAAATAAGAAAAAAGAAATACCCATAGGGCATCCTACTGGAGGCGGCTCTTGATGCAATGCCATCATACAGCAGTAGCCAGTTCCCAAATTGCATTGTGATGGAGGAAGACATTCAGAATCCTGACTACATTGAACTAAATAAGATCCTCTTTCTTAAACAAAATTATTTATTATTATATTATGAAAGTATATATTTAACCTTTGAGAAGTCTTCCTTCCTTTCCACATAATCGTTCATGATCCTCTTCCATCTCAAACATGGTTTGGTTGTAAATTTCTCCTTCAGAGATCAGAGGTTGAGAAACTAAAATGAAAATTTCACGAAGTTATAATGACAGTTATATAAAAACTCACAGATCTCATATTCTTCTTCTACTTCTTGGCAGTTGATAGCCAGTATGAAGGCGGCAAAAGATAATAAAACAAACTTTGTTTTCATATTGTTCCTTGATAATAGCTTGATTGAAGCGTTCATTCTCTTCATAATTTCTCAGCTTTATATACTTGAGTCAAACAAACCGGAAAACGGCATGATTCATGCATATTCCGGATCCGGTATCGAAAACTCCGTCAAAAGATTCCAGAAGAACACGTAACGACGTCATATTGAGGTTGGATTCAGTTGAAGTTTGTCATAGTGAGTTCATTGAATAAATATAGAAGAAGATGAAGCATATGTAAAGTTCAATTGATTATCTGATGATTCATCATCTTCAGAGAAATCTGTTTATGTTAATTATTCTTGACAAGTTCTAGGATATTTTCAATTATGTTGTGCATGAAGATTCTTTATAAGGGCGGGACTTGTGTACTTCTCATAAAAGTCTTGCTAATGCTTATCCATATCGAAGCTCCTTGAATAAGTTACAAACTTTTTCGTCAATTTGCATGCGAAACGAAACTTTATCTTCCTTAGAGTATCGGCTGACTGTTACAGATGGAAATGTCTTTATTCAAGTTGATTATAATATTCTATGCAATCTATATAAGTAATTGCCAGTTATCTGTCAACCAATGTGTTCTCCGATGTAAAGACAATCATATGAGAGAAGTGCTCGCTGAATATTCTTCTATGGCTAAACTATTCTTTACAGATGGATAATGAATGGTCTACGGATTTCACGCTTCCACTTATCAGTCTCGTACAAAAGACAAATAATGAAAGTGCTGCTTTACACTTATTCAAATCTATTTGCAAGTCAGTTTTTTATCTCTTTGTTCTTTGCTTGTCCAGCGAACAGCTTTAAAAAACTGAGAGATAGGAAAGGAGAGAAGCTGTCGAGCCTATCCTAGGGTCATACTCTCATATTACAATGCTCTTTGTTCCGAAATTAGTAGCACATTAAGGAGTAAATTTGAAACAATAGAAGGAAAGACAAGTATTTTGTGAAAAAGAAACAAAAACAAAATACTTCAAACGCAAAATTTTATTAGAAATCCTAATTCTGTTTATGGATGCAAAACAAAGACGATTTGTTTACAAACTTCAACGAACTATATAGTTAAGAATTCGTCTTCATTCCCATATGATATTAATAAGACAAGACAACCTCATACTCACTTTAATACTTAGTTCCGACAAATTGAATGCCTAATATGGTACATCAGCAGATAGCAGACAGACGAAGAGAGGATTGATAGATAGAGAGTGAGAATATTCAATTTTCTATCAAAATATATGAAATTCTTCAATGAAGTTTACTTTTATAAATCAAATTTGAAACGTGTATCTTCTCATTTCTTTAACCTTATTACTTCTTTCAAATAACATACTTGCAGTAGTAATCAGTTATTGGAGAAATGCTTATCGTCCTGTAATAAATCACAAGAAACGGCTATCTTGTTAGCAGGAAGCAAGTCATGGGAGTATTCCTGTGGACATATTGATGGTCCATATTTCAATCCACTATACTATTTATAATCTACTCCATACTCAGAAGTGAAATCCCAGTTTACATGTTGGAGGAATCATGCCGAAGAGATATCAATCGCCTGCAGAGCCACAACTGTTCTTCTGCGTAACTCAATGTTACAGTTCACAAAAAACCAATCAGAAATATTCATAGAACACATTTGCAGGTAAACAAAAATATATTTTCCTCAAAATTTGTTTCGCTCAGTGATTATGATAAGTTCTCCACCTGTTTCACTCAAGAGCATGGTCGCTTGTGTGGTTTAAGATCAGAAGTGGTTTGTTCATTGAATTAAAACAATTTATTTAATTAGGATTGTTTAGATAACGGGTAGAATGTTTCATGGAAACAGGGAAGCTATCTTCAATATGTTGAAAATGAAATGGTCAACATTGCCAACTCAATGTGGATATTCGCAACTTCGAAGAGATACATATTATTATGAGAAGTATTCAAAATGGAATTCTGCTAACTCGATTGCACCTCTCCCGCTCGTCATATTCCTATTTTTCATGAAATATCGAGTTTAGTTAACATGTGAGAAAAAATGAAGACTTTGTTCAAAACTTATTGATATATTATATTACTCATTTGAAATAGTTACACGTGAGCAGTGCTTCACGGACCTCTTCCGACTCACGTGAAAACCCACGTATGTCAGCTGCTTCATTTGAAACGACGTTTGAGTCCAGTTCGGTTGCTTATCTCTCATCTTTTTTCGATTAATCACGAGAATAATATTTTTGTTTTAGGCTCTATTGAAAGAACAAAATAAATAAAGCGACATGCAGAGCAAACGATTACAGTTGATGAGAACGAAAAATCTACCGAAAGGTTTATTTAAGTTTTGTATTTACAGAAAAATTGGCGAATTTAAAAGGAATTAAAAGTGTACCTCGTCCAAGTAAAGATATCAACAATTAGATCTATTTACAAAATGATACAAAAAATTAAGCAAAAAAAATTATTACGCTGTTAGTCACTATACATAGACATGTCACCCAACTTCAAGTATTTGCAGATGTGACTGGGTAACTTATCTTGACTAGTACTCAGCTGCAGGTATATGGATTCGGCAGAACTTAGGACTTCATCCAAGTTCAGGTGCATGGATAAGTCGTTAACATGCTGAAAAAAACGAAATAAGAAAGTTTTCAAATGAGAAGCAGGATACCTTCAGTATTTCTGTGAGACCGAAATTATTTTGCATTATGGTGTTTGCTTCGCGATCTAGTATGGCAACACACACAAGCAATAAAAAGTTTGGGCACGGATGATCAGTCAATACAACTTCCCATAGTCTTGAGGTATCATGGAAACTAAACTCACGTTTGAACCATACTAATACCCAACGGAAACAAAAGTACATGTCTTCCGATTGGTTGCATTCTAGAACACACTTAAAATAATGATACTAAAGATAGTCAATACCTAGATAGTTGGCTAGCTTAGGGTTGACAACCATGACTAAATCGAATAATTGATTCAACTGCAGTTTGATATGCGTCTGATCTTCTTCGAAATTGGGATGCTAAAATAAAAAGCATGATCATATAATTTAAAACGACTAACGATTCTCTTCATGAACCCAACGAAACACCAGAAAGCGTCTTGCTCATCATCCATAATGTACAAAAGCTGAGAAGCAAAATCGCTCATGCCTTGTACATATCCTACAAAACAGTTGAGTTTCTAATACAATTTCATTCCTTACCGAGATCAAAATCATGCATTATGTAAGTCATCAGAATGCAATGAAGCATTTGCAAATTCGAATTGTTTGGTCCTTGATAGAACTCGAGAGTTCTATCGGTTCGAGCAACATCTTTCTCTGTAGGATAAATTTTATTCGAGTATTTATTAATTAATTCTTACCCACAAGTCCTTTTCTCTTACTGTAGCTGGCAAATCGTAGTTCTTGATCATCAGTAATAGACAACCACTGGTGCTTCATATTCTCATATGTATTTTCTTTATGATGCTTTGTCTAGAACATCTCTTATGATGAGCACATGAAATCGTACACTTACATTAACAAACGATTCGTCAGATTCACTCCAATCGCGGTAATCCAACAGGAGTTTCCAAACATCTTTACGTAGGTCAGGTTCTATCCCACCCCGGAATACATGCGATTTTATAGTATGAATATGTCGGGCATCGATAGAACCATCAGCGTTTTTGTAAACTTCAAAGAGTTCCTAAATCACAAAGTATGAGTAGGAAAACAAAATTTTATCACCTTTGTTAGAGGACTGATTCTTTCACAAACGGGTCTGTCGGGAAGATTAAGTTGTGTGACTACTTCGAACTCGGTTTCAGTGTGAATTCTGAACGAATACGTAAAAAAAAATATAATATCGCTTTTACCTTAAATCTGTGGCGTCTTCATCTCTTCTTCGTAAGTCACGCATTGCTCTTATATGCTCCTCTTGTTCAACAGCATCAGAATCCAATAAGACAGGATAAACGTGATCTTGCATCAGAGAAGTAATCTTCCCGAATCCTGTTAGTGCTGTTTCGCAAGGTTTGTTCAAAAAGCGCTGAAGAAACTTCCAAGATAAATTAACTAGATTTGCCATACCGATAGTATTCCACCATTAAAGTCAAGGTCAGTGACGCTTTTAGCTAGGGCTCCAGCATTTCCATCCACAACGAGGGTTAAACTGGGATCATGAGCAGAGATTCGGAGAGATAGATATCTAAGAAAAATGAAAAAGTATGACCAAATATACAACTCATACCCTCGTAATTTCTCTAAGAATTCATCAACGGAAGTTGTTCTGAAGTACAAAGCCATAGGACTAGACCCATCACGGCATATGAATCGAATAAATGGGTACCCTTGTCCTAGACCAAGGATGTGGCAACTCGATAAAAAAGAAAAAAAAACCTTTATCTTTTGGCTCCAAGTATTTGTAAGAGCTCAAGTCACAGACGTCTATCGAGAATTTCAACTTGTTCAATAAATCTTTAGACTGCAAACGATTTCGCAATGATTAGGCAATGAACAGAAATAATGCTTACGCCATCACTATCGGGCGAATTCAGACTGTGGGATGCAATGTTTTCTTCCGATCCTCCAGTAATAACCCAACCTGTTGATTCATTACCGTCTTCAGTTGGGGTCCATTCAATGAATACCCCAATGCTCTGAAAGAAGTCTATAAAAACCCTGACGCGAGCCAACTGCTCACTCTTTCAACCAGAGTGAGAACTCCTTGCAGCAACTCATGATAATCATCCGACAGTTTTACACAGGCATCAGGAACTTGATGAATAACCTGAAAACGATTAATCATAAAGAGAAACAACACATTTATCAAGCAATACATTGTCTGGAAGGACGGGTCTGCTGAGATTCGCAGTAATGGAATTCAAAGCTGCTTCCATTTCCCGTCTATTCTGTGTCCTCTTTTTCTGGGAATATTTATACAATAAAACTGGTAACATATAACTAAAATACTCTCATCAGACAAGGTGATTAAAAACGAAAGATATCAAGAAAACGGGTATATGAACGCACTCGATACATTGAAATCTTTAAAATGAGTCAGCTCTAGCAGAAATGCTTTTATAACAGAACAGAACAGACAAGATGAGTGACGTCATTGTCACGGGAGTGGATGACGTCTGTTCAAAAATTGAGTTTGTAATGGCAGTCTATGTGGTTGACGCCGTTTTGCGACTAATTGAAAAGTATTTGTGGACGAGTTGTCCTTATCGTAGGTATTGAACCAAAGCTTTTTGCGAAAGTTGCTTTCGACTAATTTTTCCAATATAAAAATATCAACAGATTTCAGCAGCAATGCCTACGGTTGGAATTAAGAAGGTTGTCCTCGACAAGCATTTTCAGAGGGTTTACAGTACGTTAGCGTTTGTCCCCATTATTTTAAAAATATTTGTTTAGGTGAAAAGGAGTTCGATGAGCTCTGTTTTGAGTATGGTCTTGAACTTGACGAAATTGTGAGTTAACGATTAACAGTTAGGTTCCAATCTAGGGGATTAATAGACTTCCGAGAAAGCTGCTGTGGAAAAGGAACGCCATGTAGATGAGAAAGAAGCGTCGGCGTTATCGGACCAAGAAGTCTACAAAATTGATATCCCAGCTAATCGCTATGATCTTTTGAGTGTGGAAGGTCTTGCCCGCGCTATTCGTATTTTCAAGAAAGAGTAAGTAATAGTAACATTTTGAAGACTTACTGTTCCCATAATTAGAATCAACCAACCAGAGTATAAAGTAGTGAAACCAAGTGGACCTACTCAAATAATTAAAGTCAAAAAAGAGGTTTGATTCAAAATCAGTTCTATTTCTACTTCGAATTTAAGACTTCATCTGTTCGTCCATTTGTAGTTGGTGCCGTTTTGCGTGATATTCAGTTTGATGCAGATAATTATGCATCTTTCATCGATCTCCAGGTATTATTTGCCTGCAAGCTTTGTAAATTGTTTTCACCTAGGATAAACTGCATCAAAATATCTGCAGGAAACGAACACTTGTTGCTATAGGAACTCATGATCTAGATACTATTGAAGGTCCTTTCGAGTATAGAGCGGAATTACCTAAGGATATCAAGTTCAAACCCTTGAATCAAACCAAAGAGTATACCGCCGAGGAATTGATGACTCTTTATGCTGTAATTGTTAACTGATTTTTCTTTATTCTTTTTTTTTTCTTAAGACTGATAGTCATCTGAAAGCCTACTTGCCTATTATTCAAAACCATGAACGCTATCCTGTTATCTACGACAGTAAAGGTGTTGTATGTTCACTCCCTCCAATCATTAATGGCATGTTGACTTCAAGTAATGCCTCTAGTCATATAATTGTTGCAGGAGAACATTCTAAGATCACCCTGAACACTAAGAATGTTCTTATTGAATGTACCGCTACCGACTTGACGAAGGTATGGCTGTTCAGGAGTCGTTCTTTTACTTTTTTAGGCTATTGTAACGCTGGACACTATTGTTTCTTTATTCAGTCAATACTGTGCCAAGCCTTTCACGTAAGGGACATGCTTTAATTTATTCTAACTTAATCGGTTTAAGTGCTGAGCCTGTTCAAGTTGTGTATGAAGAAGATGGAAGAGAAGAGTTGTACCCTGTACGAGTTGCTTTCATACTATAATCGTGATTGAAATACATTCAGAAACTCACTTATCGCGATGTCAGTGTGAAGACACCAACTATCAACACAAAAATTGGATTCCAATTGGATGAAACCACTATGGCTGATCTTTTGACTAGAATGTCCTTAACTGCTACAGTAGTTGGTAAAGAGTCTCTAAAAGTTAAAATCCCTCCAACACGTCACGACATTCTACACGAATGTGATATCGCTGAAGACGTTGGAATCGCCTACGGTTTCAACAACTTAGTTGTTGGACTACCAGAGGTATCTTAATTTTCGAATTCCATTAGTAATCTTGTACTACAGTCTAACACGGTTGCGAGTGCTCTTCCTGTGAATAAGCTTTCTGAGTTGTTAAGGCAAGAAGTGGCCATGGCAGGTTGGACTGAAGCTCTCAGTTTTGCCCTATGCAGCAGGTCAGATCTTTCTCTTCCGAAGACATTTTCCAATCTGGAGTTCTTGTATTCAGAGAAGACATTTCTACGAGGCTTCGTAAACCTGAAGCTCTCAATGAAGCAGTTCATATCTCGAATCCAAAAACACAAGAGTTTCAGGTATTTGTCTAGTTAGAACTCGCCAGAATTTCCTGAATCATTAGGTTGCTCGAACTTCCTTACTCCCTGGTGTTCTGAAAACTTTGTCTTCAAATAGAGATATGCCACTGCCTTTGAAACTGTTTGAGTTACAAGATGTTATTCTTACTGATTCCACGACTGGTAAAGTGTGATAGAAGTCACTTTCCTGAACTCACGCTTTCAGATGTTGGAGCTCGCAACGAGCGTCGGTTAGCTGCCGTTTATTACAATAAGTCTGCTGGGTTTGAAATTGTTCATGGATTTCTTGATCGGTATGCGTATGAGCAATACAGTTTATAATGTCATGTTCAGTCTTATGCGACTTCTCGATGTGAATCCCGGAAAAACAGACAAGGGATACTATATTGTTGCAGAAGATGGTAATAGCTAGATTCATTATTTTCAAAAACAAAATCCGATTCAGATGCTACCTATTTCCCGGGAAGATGTGCGGCTATTTACGGTCCTAATAATGTTAAAATCGGCTATCTGGGTTCTCTACATCCTGAAGTAATAACATCTTTCGGGCTCACACTTCCATGTGCTGCAATCGAGATTAACCTCGAACCATTCATCTGAAGCTTTTGAGTTTTTGTTTTTGTTATTTTTATTTAAAACAATAAAGTTATATGCTTTGTTCGAATGTCTCTGTAATTCGTTCAATCGAATCGGAAACTACCTATGACCATTTTGATTAGTTTTTCTGACCTGTGTTTTAGATGCTTTCGGACTGCTTGCTCATAATCGGAATTGCGTTATGCACTGCATTGGCCGGAGAAGGATTAACTTACCTACTCGTTTATAGATCAGAGGAGTACAAAAGACTAACGGCACGTTTATTTTGATAATTTTGTGTGACGATGACATGGAAAAAATCTTTCTAAGCGAACATAAAACCGAAAATAATAGTTCCAACGCTGATGATTTATTTTCAGGCCGAGATGGAGAGAAAAACGAAAAGGCTTGAAAAGAAAAAGCTCGAGGCTGATGTTTCTGATAAAAACACGAAGAAAAGGCTTGAACGAGATGAAGAGCGTCTCAAGGTAAAAATTTTCTCAGTTTCTTGAGTAATACAATGACATCAGGCAACTAACCGAGACATGTCCATGTTCAAAATGAAATCTATGTTTGCTATTGGTTTGGCATTTACTGCTCTTTTATCAACTTTCAACTCCATCTTTGACGGAAGAGTGGTCGCAAAACTTCCATTCGTACCCATTTCTTTCATACAGGGACTTTCCCATCGTAACTTGGTTAGTTTCCATATTTGCTTCTTAACGTAAAATAATGTTTTTAGTTGGGCGATGATTTTACCGACTGTTCTTTCATTTTCTTATACATTTTGTGCACAATGACTATCCGCCAGAATCTCCAAAAATTCCTTGGATTTGCTCCATCCAGAGCCATGAATAGACAACAATCTTCGTCATGGGGGGCCGGAGCTGCTCAAAACCAATTCAACTATCTTCGTTAAATTAGCATATCAATCGCCATTGCTTTCTAATTTATTGAGAAATTGTTGCTCTGTTAGGTTATTAAGTTTAATAAAGATAAGTTTATAGAATTTTATTATAGAAATGAAAAAACAAGTCAAATCAACAACTAAGATTTGCGTTCACAAAATCACTTTACGCTCGGATGGATTCTAAATCCGTATAGCCTTAACAAAAAAAGTAGATAGTGAATACCGCTTTAACTAACCTAGGAATGAATTCTATCTTGTGTTTCTTCCGTAAGAGGGGATAAGCCATTAGCAACATCTGAGCGAATGATGTACCGAAATATGCACCATCTAGCAGTCTGTGTTTGCTAGGAATCGGAGAATATATCTCATTGCAGCATGGGCAAAACAGTTTCACCTACAAACAGTTATTCAGTTCATGTTTTATCTCTCGAGTTAACTGTATCTAATCCCGGATCATCATGTATACCTGTGGGTATTAAGGGAGTACTATCGCATAGATATCTCGGGCATTTCCCGAACTCTTTATTAATTACTTTATCATACATTTTCTCTAAACCGCTGAAAGTATCAAGAAATGTTTGTATTAATTTCAGAACCTTACACAGTACTCATTATAAACCGAGCGTGAACGACGCCATAAAGCATCTGACAGTTTCTCGAGAATTCAGCAGAAGACACAAGCTGCATAGACGACTTATCAGATGAGTCTTAAAGGAAGAATAATGAAAGCGTCGATCTTATAGGTAGAATTACCGTCGTAATCTAATATTATTTTCAAAGCTTTACGAAAATCGGGAACTATATCACTTAGTCCTGTTAAGTTAAACTGGTCTGCGATAAAAGACTCGTCTACCTTAAATTACAATTATCATGCTCAAGGGAAGTATTGAAGCCTTATTTTTCACCTCTGTAAGAAATTCATTACCATACATGGAACAAAACGCTTGAATCCATGTACATTCGGAGTCATCGGAGGACATAACTTGGAAAATATAGTACTATATAAAAATTTTTGGAATACACGATGTAGACACTTGAACAAAAAGCAGCTCTAGAGTTTTTATGTTGAAATACTGAATTCCATGCAAGACCAATTCGATTTGCCCAGTTCCCATAACTTCCAGTTTGTTCATTAGCCAATTACGATTTCAATTAGCTATGGAGCAGGAAGAATGGTATTGGGTCAGAAGCACTGTTATACTTATCAAATGTTAACAAAGTATTTGAACAATCCTAAATCCATGTTTAGCTAACCGTTCAGTGGATTCATGCGGTAGGGATGAGTTGGTTTGAGCTGATATCGATTTTGAAGTCATTATTTTCATTAAGAAGGAATATGATAGTTACAGTAATCCAATGAAGACGAAGTTTTAATCAATGGCAAAGTTGAAAAAACATTTAACTTGGAAAAACGGTGTATATCTAATAGTTCTCAGTGTGTGTAACATAAACTAAATTTCAAATAACGCCTGTTGATTTGGACTTGTGAGTCATCAGAAAGAAAGTCATCAATCTGATGAAAGATATTTTTGGCTTAATGGATGCCAAAACGAATTGAACTGAGGAAAAATGAAAAAAACTGCCGGATATACTTCACTTATAGTGTCAGGAAAACATGTCATAGAAATGTGTAGAAGAGCTGTTGTTATACCAATGGCATGTTATTTGACCTGCAAGCAGATAAGATATTTTTTAGGTCAAACAGATATTGATATGGTCACTTTGACAATCTGTTAACTTAATCATAAAGCAGAGGGTCCTTCTGCTTGCAATACACTACTTATATAACTCGTTGTTATATCATTACTAATTCAAGAAGTTCACTAATTCATTTTCACACAATGATTTCTATTTTTCCTAACTGTTCTTCTATCATGAGTTAAGAAGTTCAAGTAAATCCTTTTGGCGCTCATTTGAGTTGTGGTTTATTTTATATCTTACGAGTGGTATGACCGGTTGTGTTTCCAATACCATTCGTAGATCATCGAAAACATTTCCCAAAGTATAAGGCTATAATGGCGTTCATGTAACATTTCGGAATGAATTTACATGAGGTATTGAAGATTGTCAGTTTTTTTCATTAATAATATGAAACTTTTCTTGCCTTTTCAATCCTACGTTGCTATTTTGATATCTCTTAATGATAATCCGAAGCCGATGTCAAAGTGCTTTGTGTGTTGAAATTTTAGACTATTGTCTTATATCAAAAGTTTTTCTTTGACATCTGGCGAAGAATTAAAAAAGACCGAAGTGCCGGCTACGGCACAGCTGCTCTCATAAAGAAGTCGGATGGGGAAACTTGTAGAGAAAAAGAGAGTGCAATAGAAAGAAGTGAGAGAAGAGAGTGATAGATTGTTAGAGAGATGAAGATTAACAGAAAGAAGAAAAAGAAGGCTGCGAAAGTTTTTCTTTTTCTGGAACCAAATGGTCTATGTGCAATAGTGAATCTGCGGCGAATGGTCAGGCTTCAATTTTGCTCTCACTCTTTTTGCTTTTGTTCACGCAACTATCACTGTATATCTCTAACTTTGACGAGTTCATATAAGAATTTTTGTTGTATTTTTATTATATTTTTTCATGTTTATATTGGCGTTTCTATCCTTTTCCATAATTGATGTTGTTTTCAAACTGCTGTTTTCACTTGTATGGTTATAGATTCTAAATCTCCAGCAAGATGGTGACGGACTGGCTGCTTCCGCTGCTAGTCGTCCTATCGTCTTGTAGGGCTCATGTACTGGCTCCGATTCAGATAACTATATCACATCGAAAGCCTATCGTGGCAACCTCAACCTGCGGAGAAGTTAATGGACAACCGATCAAAGAAGTGTTTTGCTCTTTAGCTGGTAAGGGTCTAACGAGAAATTCTAATTCTTTTTTTTTTAAGGTTCGAATCAGTATTCACCGTACTCACAGTATTCCTATAAGGATGACCAGAAATCGGACAATGATATCATTCAAGAAATGAGAAATCCTCGGGAAGCCATGTTCCTTGTAAGCTCACTGTATAAATGTGTTCTCAAATCTCTTCTAGGGAGGGCACGGTTGCGCCCACTGCGAAGCTGGTACTCGTGATGCTCATCCCGCTACTGCTATGGTTGATGGTAATACAAGTTGGTGGCAGTCCCCACCATTGAGCCGTGGAATGCAATACAATGAAGTCAATATCACGATTGATTTGGAGCAGGAATTCCATGTCGCCTATGTCTTTGTTCATATGGCCAACTCACCTAAGCCCAGCACCTGGGTTTTGGAACGCTCCTCTGATCTTGGAAAAACATTCAAACCTTGGTATTATTTTGCGGTAAATCCGGCAGAATGCATGAGAGTAAGTGTTTCAAAGAGAATAAAAATATGGTTTCTGTGATTATCAGCGTTTTGGAGAGGATTCATTATCTCCCATTGTCAATGATGAAGACGTTATCTGTAGATCTGACTTGTCAAGCATTCAACCCCTGGAAAACGCTGAAGTAAACACGCTTTCTAGCTACTCTCAAGTTGTATTTTGTTTTATCAGATTTTAATTAACCTACTGGAACATCGACCTTCTAAAAACAACTTCACTGCTTCTGAGGCTTTGCAAAACTTCACTAGAGCCACTAATGTAAGACTCAGGCTGCTAGGAACAAGAACACTCCAGGGCCATTTGATGGACCTAAACGAAAAAAGAGATCCTACCGTCACAAGACGAGTTAGTTAACTTATTATAAAATATTCTTCACTTTTCTTTTCAGTATTTCTATGGTATCAAAGAAATTAGCATTGGAGGCAGATGTGTCTGTAACGGTCATGCCGCTACTTGTGATATTTTGGATGCCAATAGACCTAGGGCTCTTCTTTGCCGGTAAGATTGACTTCTAACTATGATCAGCACATTGTAAATTTGCAGATGCGAACACAATACATGTGGAGATATGTGTGAAACCTGCTGTCCAGGATTCGTCCAAAAGAAATGGCAACCAACAACACCTCATAACAACTTCTCTTGTGAACGTAAGTTTTTGATACAACAATTAATCTTTCATTAATTGTTTAGCTTGTAACTGTTTCGGAAGATCGAATGAATGTGTTTATGAAGAAGAATTAGATATTCTAAAAAAATCACTAGATATTCATGGAGTCTATAAAGGAGGAGGACGGTGCATCAACTGCAGAGATTATACAACTGGCATTAACTGTAACGAATGTGTCACTGGCTTCTACAGACCTAATGGTGTGCAATGGTCTGACACAATGCCTTGCAAACGTAAGAGTTTTTGAAAAATAGTTCATCATATTCAATGTTATGCAGCTTGCAACTGCGATCCTTCTAAGCATACAGGATCTTGCTCAGAGGGTGATGGCAAATGTGAGTGCCAACCACGTTTTGAAGGAGAAAATTGCGACAGATGTGCGAAGGTATCGCCGTTTGTTTTAATAAAAATTAATTTATTGTTTTAGGGATATTATGATCCTCCTGAGTGCAAAAAATGCGAATGTGCTGTGGACGGAACTTACAACGAAACTTGCTTGGTGAGTTTCCTGTGTTCTAGCGTTATTATAATTAAATAATCTTCAGCCTATTGATGGGCAATGTCCTTGTAAACAAGGTTTTGGAGGAACTTTCTGCGAGACCTGTGATTCTGGATTTACTAACTTCACTGCAGGGTGTCTTGGTTAGAAAAAAGGCTTTTCTTCTTCTCAAAAGGCGTTTAAGGGTGTGTCTGCAATGATGTTGGATCAGAACATAGCAACTGCTCTACGGAGACGGGTCAATGCGTATGCAAATCTGCCTTCAGCGGACTGAGCTGTGATAAATGTCAACTCGGATATTACGGATTTCCCAATTGTACTTGTACGTAAAATACTTATATGTGAATGATAGCAGTAGTTATACAATTTTCCAGATTGTAACTGCGATCCCGTCGGTACAGAAGGCGGTCAGTGTGATCAATCCACCGGGCAATGTTTGTGCAAAGAAGGTTACGTGGGAGACAGATGTGACAAATGTGATGTCGGTTATTATGGCTATCCAAACTGTCAATGTATGACTTAATATCGCACATTGACGCTTATAGTTCATTTGTACTTTTTAAGCATGTACTTGCGATGGCGCTGGATCGAGCTCTCCTATCTGCGATGCTTCATCTGGTCAATGTCCTTGTTACGGAAACTTCACATCACGCACTTGCGACAAATGTGCTGCTGGATACTATGACTATCCTAACTGCAAAGTATGATTATTGAAAAAAAATATTAAAATTCTGATATATTTCAGACTTGCTCTTGTTTGATTGAAGGAGCTAAAGGCCAAAGTTGCGATAACGATGGTAATTGTTATTGTAAAGGCAATTTCGAAGGCGAACGTTGTGATCGTTGTAAGTCAAACTTCTACAACTTCCCTGCTTGCGAAGAATGTAATTGTAACCCTGCTGGAGTAACTCTTGATTTTGCTGGTTGTGACAAGGTATTGTATTTCAAAAGCAGCTTCATCATATTATATATAGGTCGCTCCTGGAGAGTTGTGTTCATGCAGAGAAAACGTTGTTGGTCGTATTTGTGATCAGTGTAAGCCAAAATTCTGGGATCTTCAATACACTCATGAGGAGGGATGTGTTCAATGTGGTTGTCATCCAAATGGAACACTTTCTGATATTCAGATCTGCGACATCAAGTAACTAGAACATATCAAGCTTTTTTTTAAATTGATTTATTGTTCCAGGAGTGGCCAATGTTTATGTAAGAGAAATGCAGGAGGTAGAACTTGCGACCGTTGTGCTGAAGGTTTCTATAACTTGCAAGGATTTAACCAACTCGGATGCGAAAGTAACATATTACTCTAGATTGTGTTGCTCATCGGTCATTTAGCTTGCGACTGCGATATTGGAGGAGCAGTTAGGGGAGATTGTGACATAATTACTGGGCAATGTCGTTGTCGTCCCAGAATTACTGGACGTAAATGTGACAAACCGATTGAAAATCATTATTTCCCAACTCTTTGGCATAATCAGGTTGGTCCTCACGATGTTATGGTTTTATAAATGTAATTCAGTACGAAGCGGAGGAAGGACATACTGAAGATAACAAGCCTGTTCGCTTTGCTGTTGATGGAGTTGAATTCAAGAACTTCAGCTGGCGTGGTTATGCTGTGTTCTCTCCTATTCAAGAAGTTCTTATTCTCGAAGTTGATATCACAAAGGTTCGATTCAATGATCGATTATATCATCGCATTGTTATTTTTAGTCCTCAGTGTACCGATTGCTTCTAAAATATAAGAATCCTACTCCTGTCCAAATTACAGCTGATGTCACCTTATCCCCCCGTGCGTTGAGCTCACATGGTAAGTTTAATCGCCCATTAATACCATAGTCATGGTTTCAATCAAAACAGTTTTGTTGAAGAGTTAAGCCTTTGTTGCTATTGTGTTTTCCGTTAAGTTTCCGTGTTCTAATATTACTATTTAAGATCAAGAGCAAAAAGAAAAAGTTACTTTTGCTCCTTCCAATGATCCCCAAATCAAGGAAGTCACTGTCAAAGGTAAACCCTTCGTCATGAATCCTGGAAGATGGGCCCTCAAAATAGCAACTAAACAGAGACTGTATCTGGTATGTGGACGCAGCATATTAAATGAACTAGTTCCTGTCGATTTCAGGATTATGTTGTTGTTTTACCGGCGGAGTACTATACTGGCGCCATCATGAAGGAAAGGGCACATCCTGCTTGCCACTCAGATTCCATTCCCAACTCAACATGTGTCAATTTGATGTACCCTCCTATTCCTAGTTCTGCAAGGGCTGATGTTTCTGCTCAAAAGAATACATTTAAATATGTGAATTACGATGGCTCAACAACTGACATAGAACTCGAACCTATCGAAATCTTACCTGAAATTATTGGACCTGCTGCTTACATCCAAGCTGGGGAAGATCCAAAAGTCATTGAGGTGAGTAGATATAAAGTTAATTCATTAACGCAATGTTTTCAGGCTAGAATTAACATTGAAGAAGGGGATGATTACGTCATCGTAGTTGAATATCATAATGGTGATAAAACATCTTTCCCTGTGGTTTTGGATATTGCTCAAGATGGGTTGACTCGTTTTAATGGGTCTGTCAAGATTCAGCATTGTCCTTTCACGTTTGTTTTTCATCTAATTTGTATCATTATTTTCTCTTCTCAGAACCTTCTGCCGTGAAGTAGTAACGGATGATGGAATAATTCAAACTTCTTATTTGGAAGAAGGGGAAGCCATTATTCAGATTCGCGTTGATGCTATGAACCAATTTGGTTTGGCTGCTGTTAATTTGATTAGAAAGTCTGATTGGAACATTGATTATCTCCAACAAGTAATTTTTATCTAGTTTCACATATTCGAATTTTTTTTAAGGTTCCTGTATGTGTGAGAAAGAATGGAAAATGCGTGCCCCAGGAATATCCTCCAGCCGCAAACTCTATTGTTGCTGAGGCTAGTGCCGGACCTAATCAGGTATCAAGATGACCTATGGAATAGTAACGTTAATGTTCTTTAAGGAAAAATCTGTTTCGGGAGAAAAACTACCATTCCCGATTGCCAATCCTAAAGAAGTCAGAGTTGTTCCACTTGATGAAACTCGTGCCACTTTCGACATCTCAGGATTTGTTCCCACAAAAGGACATTACATGTTCCTCATTCACTATTACAATCCGGACAACGCTCCACTCGTACTTCGAGGCCTCGTCAATTATCCCGATCGTTTTAATGAGGGTATGTTATCAAATCACTCTTTGATTTATTGACAACTATTCAACCTTCAATGTTCATCTAATATTCCATTCCTACGTAATCATCTTTCAGAATATCCTTGTCGTTATCGTCCTAAAGAGGGTAAATGCTGTCGTGTACAGTACTCTTTTGTTAAAGCGTTTCTTTAATACCTTCGTTGCTTTTTGCTCTGACCCTTTCGTTACTTAACCTGATTTTTTTGACTTTTTCTCTAACTTAAAATCTGTATTCGTCTTCCAATTTTCTGTTTTAGGAAATGTGTCTTTGGCGTATTGCCCTTCATTCAGTGGGTGCTTGGCTATCTTCTATGATAAGGAGAGACCTGAGGTAGTTGATTTCTTTTTTCTACTATAACTTTCCCAAAATTTAGATCAAGCAGTTTGTTGTTGAGGACAAGTACTCTATGACTCTATATTATAACTCATCTCAGAAGGGGCCTATCTATATCGTTAGTTTTTGATACTCTTCCCATCAGACTCGATATTTTCAGAAATCTGTCACCCCAGTGCCTTACCAATCATTCTCTGAAATGTTACTGACACCTCTACCTATCGATGTTTCAGCTGAGTTTGTCCAAAATTGTAGAGAAAACTTCTTTGAAAACTCGTAAGGTTAACATAACGTTTCTCATCTATGACAGTTTTTCAGACCTAGCACTGTTTCCGATTTTTGCCGTGATAAAATTTTCTCATTGACAGCTGACTTCAATTCTGCTGCTTTCTCATGCGATTGTAACGCTAAGGTGCGTGTTCCGAACATTTATCGAATCATTCGAGAAACTAGGGTTCGGAATCATTCTGTTGTGACGAGTACGGTGGACAATGTAAATGCAAAGCTAACATAATTGGTCGTCGCTGCGATCGATGTGCTCCTGGTTATTATGGTTATCCTGAATGTATCAGTAAGTTAAGAGAATTTCTTCTTCTAATATCCGTGTGGTCAAGAATGTAAGTGCGGGGAAGGACAGCTTTGTGACGAGCATACTGGACAGTGTTATTGTCCTCCTCATGTAGAAGGTGAAACTTGTGGTTCTTGCGTTGGTAATGCATTTGGTTATGATAGGCTTATTGGATGTGAACTTGTAAGTTCTCTAAACTCGGAACATAATTGACAGAATTTTCAGTGTGGTTGTCATCCACAAGGGTCAGAATCAGGCTCATTACAATGTGATTCTCTGAATGGCCAATGTCTGTAAGTCTTGAATAGAGTCTTCGAATATTGTTCCGAATTTATTAAGCTGTCGCGAATCTGTAGGAGGACGTGTTTGTGATCGTTGTCTTGCTGGGTTCTACGCTTTCCCTCAATGTTATGAATGTCGCTGTAACAAAGCGGGAACTACTCAAGAAATCTGTGATCCCAAAACAGCTACATGCCAATGTAAAGATAATGTGTATGGACCTGGCTGCGATACCTGCAAAGCAGGAACGTTCCATCTCACTAGTGATAATCCTCTTGGATGTATCGATTGCTTCTGCTTTGGTATAACCGGTCAATGTAGATCGAGCATGTTCCCTGTTGTCTTCGTGAGTTGCTCTCCAAATGCAAAAGTTATAACCAGTTATCATGCTTTAGGAAAATATTGATCTCGCTGGATTCATTACAACAGATCTTACTGGACAGGTATCCACATCTGATGACGTTATAACGTACACCTCGAGCGAAACTTCTGAGAGTACATACTTCATAGTGCCTATAATCAATGGAAATGACTATACTACAAGTTTTGGCTTAATGCTCTCCGCAAAATTATCTGTTACTCCTCGTAATCCGAACAATCGTGCTATTAGTACAACTGCCGACATTCGCTTGTATGGAAACAATATCACCGCAGAGTTCTGGCAAGAGGAACAGCCTTCTAACCCCGAACAAACTTTCGCAGTCCGTGCTCGTCTTGTGCCGGTGCGTGCTTTATTTTTTCTTTTTATTTTGTTTTACTTGTAGGAAAATTTTATGTACAATGGAGAACGGCCAATCACTAGAGAAGAACTGATGATGCTTCTGAATGATCTTCAGAATATAACTATAAAAGCATCATACTTTGAAGAAACTGCTTCTGCAACTCTATTAGAATTTGCGCTTGAAAAGTCTGTCAACGATGTGAGTTTGATTATCTTTAATTCAAAGTAAATCTGTTTGTTTGTAGCATACAGTTGACTCTGTTGTAAGAGCGTCATCTGTAGAACAATGTAACTGTCCTGCCCCTTATACCGGACCATCTTGCCAACAATGTGCTACCGGGTACTATAGAGTCGAGGGAAATTATTTGGGAGCCTGTGTTCCATGCGATTGTAATGGTCATTCTGGTTCTTGCGATTCACTCACTGGAAAGTGCTTCGACTGCGAAGACAATACTCACGGAGATCATTGTGAACTTTGTAATGAAGGCCATTACGGTGATGCTACAACCGGCTCTCCCTATGCATGCATGCCTTGCCAATGTCCTTATGCTCCTGACAATAACTTTGCTACTACGTGCCAAGTTTCCGAATATGGAGAGTTACTCAGTTGTAATTGCAAACCCGGTTACACTGGAGAGAGATGTGATCGCTGTTCCGCTGGATATTTTGGAGAACCTAATCGCCCAGGAGGATCCTGCCAGCCCTGCAATTGTAACGGAAATAATAATCTCACTGACTTCGGAAGCTGTCACCCTGTCTCCGGAGACTGCTTCAACTGTGAGAAACATACTGTGGGTCGTCGCTGCGAGTGGTGTGAACCTTGGTAGCTTGCAAAGTTTTCGTATCTAACTTATTTAATTGATTTAGGTTCTATGGAGATGCTGTATCGGATAAAAACTGTGCTTCGTGCTCTTGCGACCAATGTGGCTCCAATAGATGTGACAATCAATCTGGTAACTGTACCTGTAAACCAAATGTGGAAGGAGAGAACTGTAATCGTTGCGCACCTGATCACTTCGGTTTCTCCAAGTGCCGTGGATGCGAACCCTGTCATTGTGGACAAGCGTCATCATCTACTCAATGTCATGCCGATAGCGGTCAGTGCGCTTGCCGTCCTGGAGCTGCAGGTCTTCGTTGTGAGCACTGCGAACACGGGTTCTGGAACTATGACGTTCACGGATGTCAAAAATGTGACTGTGAAGCCGATTTATCTATGGGTACCGTATGTGATGTAAGAACTGGACAATGTCATTGTCAAGAAGGAGCTACAGGACCCCGCTGTGATCAATGCGAAAAGAGTTATCTCCGTATACCAACAATGGGTTGTAGACGATGTGATGAATGCGTTCATCATTTGATCGCTGACACGGATCTTCTCTCAATTCAATTCGGACTTCTGAATACTTCGATCGGTAACATATCATCCGCCACTGTAGTTGGAGCTAGACTTAGCAGAAGCAAGAAGGCCCTTACTAATCTTGTTGAACTATCACAGATATTAACAAACTCCGATAATGAATACAATAACTTCATTGGTGATGCACGAATTGTTCTAACATCGGAATCGAACTTATTCATCAACGCCAACCGTTCTTTCGCTGTGAGTAGCGACTACTCTCATCGTGTTAGAAATGTTTCTGAAGACGCAGAAGATATCTTACAAGACATAAGAGATCGCATCGACTATTCTAAGACGGTTATTAATTCCATTCATACTCTTGCGGAAGCTATAGGAAGTCAATCGTCTGCTCTCAACATTGATCCTCATTGGATAAAGGATGCAGAGCAAATTCTGAAAGATTTGGAAGTTGCAGGAGCGTAAGTTCAAACAGCTATTTGTAATTTCTTAATGTTTCATTTCCAGTGTGTCTCCACCTGATGTTGTTAAAAACATCCCAGAATACATGCTGAAATTGAAGGCTAATTTGGAAAGATTCAAAGAGAAAATGACCATGATGAGAAAGAAGGTAGAGGCTACCAAAGCCAAGTCTGACGAGATCTCAAACTATCTTTCTGAAACTCAAAAGCTTCTGAAAGATTCGAAAAAGAAAAGTGATGCTACAATCAAGGTAACTAAATTGTTCATGTTGTTTACAATGCTTCTTTTGTAGGCTGCTCAACAACAGTCTCTCTTCACGTTGGAAGGATTGGCTAGTGCAATCAACAATGATGTTGAAAAGCTAATGGAAACCCGGAGAGATGTTAGTACTCTCATACTCGATATAAACAACAAGACTGAAACAATGAGAGACGCGTTTGAAGGGATAACTAACTCTCTCAACATTCTGGTGGATATACGAGCTGAAGTACAAGAAGCCGTAGAAACCAGAGGATTGAAGAGAGCCAAGAGAGAACCTATGGATATCTCCCCCATGAAAGAGAAGGTCTCTGAAATTGCAGCGGAGGCTTCCAATTTAGAATCTATTTTCGTTTCTGCACGCCAGGAATCTAAGGCTGCTATTGAAGCAGCTACAGCTTATCAAAATCTGACCGATAGCTTAGCTTCGGCCCAGTCCAACTCACAAGATGCTATCGAACTAATTGACGAGAGACAAGAAAATATAGAAGGAGTTCAATCAGAAGTGTCGAAAGTTCATACCAAATCGCTATCACTCTCGAAGGAAGCTGATGATCTTCAGAGAGAGGTGTTGAACGAACTCCAACGTAAAGCTGATGCCACGGATAGAGATATTGAGAGGCTCACACAACAATTGGATGGCATGAGACAGTTGCGAAATTCCGTACACAGTAGCCTTTCTTCACCATTAAAAGATGATATGATGGCTGATATCGAGGACAGGGTGAACCAAGTTCAGTCATACAAGAATAATTTGAACGAAGCTCTTGAATCGGCTAGGAAGGAAATAAGTGAGACAAAGGTTCAAGCTGATACTGTTATAGCCAAGCAAACCGACGCTGTTCAAGCTATTAAGCAAGCAAGAAACAACATCAAGGAGCTCAAAGATCTCTCAGAAACATTAAGGAAATCTTTCGATAAAATGTCAGATGCTCGTAATCAGAAGTCGAATAACGTTGAAGTCGCTCAAGAGAAGCTCAACCATGTTAAAGAAATCATCGCTGTCGCTCGTGACGCCGCCAATAGAGTCCGCTTAGGTGCACACTTCGAATCTGGAAGCAGTCTTGATTTGAATCTACCTATAAGAGTTTCTCAATCTGCAGCCCATACAGACATTTCTTTCTACTTCCGTACTCAATATCCCAATGGAATACCATTCTTCTTCGGTAATGAAGAAGGCTCTGCTGGAACAAGAGCCGTTCCTACAGATGATTATATTGCAGTCGAGATTGAGCAAGGGACTCCTAAAGTCACGATAGACTTGGGAGATGAGCCTTTGGTGATAAAGTTAGAAACCAGAGTTGTAGATAATCTATGGAGGAAAATTGAAGTAGAACGTATTGGTAAATCTGCCACTGTTACTTTGAGTAAGCCAAATGGAGAAGATGTTGCTGAAACCAAGAAAGCTTCCTCTACCGGAAACAAGAGTGTTTTGAATCTACATCAAACACAAAGCCGTCTTTTTGTTGGTGGAATACCTGCCAAGTCTCAGATCGATCGTTCTGTTCGTAATCGTTTATTCTATGGTGATATTGAAGAGCTTCTTCTTCATGGAGAGCCTGTTGGCTTGTGGAATGCTCGCAATGGAGGAATGGTTAATGTGAATGGTGCTCCTCGTCGCTACAGATCAGACGGAAGTTCTTCTAACACAGGTATCGGTGCAGTTTTCTATTGGAGTCATTGTTTTTTGTAGGCGTTTCTCTGAACGGCGAAGGATACATCGTGCACGATCTTGGACATTGGAACCCGCGCAAGAAAACCGTACTCTCGTTGCAATTCCTCACATATTCTCCTGAGGGTTTACTCTTCTACATAGGCAAAGATAGCGACTTCATGTCTATCGAACTTAGTCTTGGATCCATCAAGTTGTCTGTTGACTTTGGTTCTGGAGTCGGCCAATGGACAACCGATAGCTCAGAATACAACAATGGAAAATGGCACACCGTTTCTATCAATCGCGATGGTGTGCATTTGAAATTAGAGGTCGATGGAAAAACCGTCGCCGAGGGTGATGCACCTGGCGAACAGTTCGAGATGAGTGTAACGGATAAATTTTACCTGGGTGGTATCCCCAGCGGCGTCAGCACGTAAGCATACCGGTTTTATACGATTAAACAAACTTAGTTTCAGTAGATCTCCTGTTGTTCCTCTTCGCGGATGCTTACGAGCAGTTCGCCTCGGATCTGATGAGCTCGACCTACTTGGTCGTGGTGTGAGTGCAAGCAAAGGTTTGAGAAGTACATGTCCTCTTGGAAGTGTTAGAACGGTAGAGCTTATTTCCAAAAAACAAAAATAATTATTATCTTTGAAGGTATCTATTTTGTCTGAGAGATCGTCTGCTGTTTTCGAAAACATGCCCAGTAGAGAGGAAGCTGAAGTTACACTTCGTTTTAAAACTCGTGAACAGAAAGGACTTCTTCTGAATGTCCGAAGTGAAGAAGACGATCATTTACTTCAACTTGAAATTGATAATGGACAACTTATGGTCTCTGCCGGAGAAGATAAACTGACTGTTGAAGTCGCATCTGCGTCTGATGAACAATGGCATTTTGTTTCTGTTCGAAAGGGCAAATCTATACTTCGAGTTGACGTCGATGACATATATTCGCAGCATATTGATAGACATCAAACTGTTGAAGAAAACGGTGAAACTGCAAGTATAGTGTTCGGTAAACAAGCTGACGGAAGTTCGTTTGTTGGATGTGTAGGAGATGTTACTTACAATGGAGAACTTCTGGACTTTGCCAAGGTAGATCAGAGTTATGAGTAAAAAATTACGAAAGCCAATTCAGGCAAAAATACACGAGGTTTCCCTCACAGGATGTTCCCTGAAAGACGATGAAATCAAAACAACGGTAGCTACAATAACAACTAGCACAACCCCCGTACCTAGTTCTGATGATGATGCTGCGTTACAGGTATAGTTTTTCATAATTGTTTCTCCTTTTCCTTCTGTTTAAAGTCACTCGAGAGAGGTTGTACGTTTGTACTCTACTGTTTCACATTTCTTCGCGTGTTCTGAAAGTTTCTCGTATTTCAGCTTCGCCCTGATGGCCACTGCGCTTTACCCATTGTGCCACGGGGAATTAATTCTGATTCTGATGGACTACGATTTGGAGGTGTACCTGGATCTCGAGTCGAATATGAAGTCACGAACGAGTCCTTTGATAAAACGTAATTCAATCGCCTTTTGGTGTTTTCATTAATTGTTTTCAGCGGAACCTTTACGCTGGACTTATTAGCAACTGCGAACAGCGGTGTCATACTGTTTGCTTCTAATGAAAAGCAATCTGATCATATTGGTCTATTCTTGGAGAATGGAAGAGTTGTTTTCACGTATAACAGTGGAAATGGTGCCAATGTGGTTCTGAAATCGAAAAAATCAGTTATGGATGGCAAATGGCATTCTATAAAGGCATCGAGAACAAGCACGGAGAGCCATCTTGTTGTGGATGATGAGAGTGTAGAGATTGAGTAGGACTTTTTATTCACATTTGTTGAGTTTAGTTTACCCTTTAGAATATCCTCGGTAGAGTCTATTGAGACTAAGGCCCCATTGTTCGTCGGAGGAGTACCATCCGAACTTTCTGCCTACACTAGAACAATCATCGCGGTACTTACGGTGTTTTCATGATTGATTCGAATATGTATGCTTCAGGGTGTTCGTTCTGAGTTTGGAGGTTGTATCCGCGGTTTCAAGTTGAATAAGAAGATGCTTGAAAATAAGCACGAATATGGCGTTCAGCAATGCAGTTCTTTCACAGAAGACGGAATGTTCTTCGGAGAGAAGGGAGGATATGCTATTTTGAAAAAAGAATACCATGTAATGCTATTATTGAGTTCTCGAAAACATTTTTCACTTTTCCAGGTTGGTCAAACTTTCATTGCTGATATCGAAGTTCGTCCAAGAACCCAAGATGCTGTCTTGTTCTCTGTTGGAAAAGTTGAATATTTGTCAGTTCAGATAAATAATGGATCTGTCAAGGTTTTTAACAGAAAAGTACGGACGTTCAAAGTCGTGTTTCAGTTTACTATTGACAGTGGAGCTGGTGCTGAGAGCCTTGTATACAGCCCTAGTTCTGGTTCATCTTTGTGCGATGGCCACTGGCACTCAATTAAGATTATGAAAAAGAAAAATTTGATGACGTTGACTGTTGATGGGAAGAGTAATCTTCATATTATGAAAAAGAGCAAGAAACCTGAAACCGTAACTAATGATCCTATTTATTTGGGAGGACTTCCTGATGGTGCTGAAGCCAAGGGTCTCGATACTAAAGGTTGGAGGAGCTTTATTTGTTTGTCATCTGAACTTATCACATTTCAGCTCCATATATTGGATGTCTTCGTATTACTAACTATGGAGATAAGAAAACTCGTGTTATTCGTCGTCGTAAGCAAATTGATGTTTCCAAGTTGGAAGTCTTCGGCGATGTATCAAATAAGGGATGCCCCGTCAATTAACTGAAATATTTTAAATATTATAAAATGAATGCTATTATCGTTATCTCGGTTACATGTTTGCTTTAGCTAAAACACATACTTCTAATAAAGATTCGTCATGCATTGTAAATGAATCCTTGAACTTGTTCAGAGCAAAGGTTGAACCTTACTATTTGGAATTAATTTTGCATGTTTCCATCTTTTGCATTGGTAATGATGGGGTAACTGAGATCTTACGGTAGAGAAATGAGCATAAACAGTATTTATTCCGGTTACATCGTAAACAGAAGTATGTCTAAGGTACAGCGAAGATTATTAGTAGTCTTGTGGCTCGTGGTAAGAAGAAAAATATTCATATTTTCTCATTCAGAACAAACAGCTCAAGTGTCTCGTATTAAGATACAACCATTAAAAAAAGAATTCAGCTTTCATCCTAAATGATGACAATTTCATTAGAATGGAAAGGGTGTGTTGTGCTGAAAGGAGACTCGTTTTTTGGGTTCCCATTATGACCCTCTACACCAAAAAATAAGATCATTTTTCATTCAAACATATTCTTATTAAAATGTAAAAGGCTTTCAGCTCATTTCTTTAAAGGATCAAATAGATTTAGATGAAGCAATTACATAAATTTGAGTTCTTGAAGCCTTGATTGCATCATGCAAGAGTCGAACCAAAGATTCACGTCACCAAATGAAGTTTCGGTGTGTCAACCGGTTGGAACGGACAGACATCCATGAGCAAACTTGAGACTCGCGATAGTGGAAAATCCCGATTATTCAAAAGACAAGGAAGCTTATTATATCCTCGTCAATTAAAATTTGAATTTTACTACTGCAGACTATTCACTCAAATGCCATTGATATTAATGGTTGGAAAAGAGATTTATTCAAAAAAGATCATTTCAGTTTCATTATGGTAATTGAGTTAAATGAAAACGGAGTGACTAGATGGAAGCTGTCAACTTCAGCACAGAAGAGAAGCATTATCAGGAAATTTTGTATATACGGCACCCCGCCATATCTGTCATTTCCAGAAACTTTCCTGCGGTTTCATCTAAGTTTAGATCTGTTTATTCTTAAGAGTTTTCTTATTACGGCTTAAATGAAATCTCATACGTTGAAGAGCAAGTACAAAAATTAAAGAAAATTCTATCAGTGTAGTCAGTTTTGTTCATCGGAAGGAAAAGAAATGTAGGATCGAGGCGGATTGTGGCTTGTAAAAAGCATACGCATGAAAAGGAAAAAAAACACTTTCTTCGGTTGTAAACTATTGTGAATAAAACATCATCCCTTATTCAGAATATATTTTCCTGAGATTCTTCTGTGAATCATTGAATGTTTGCTTCATAATTTCATAGAAAAGATTCTTTACGAATTTTTCTCTTTCTAATTGGTCCTCCCCCTCATTGTTCGTTTCTTTTGTTTGAAAGTCAGCGAGCATTTGAAGAATTCGCTAGAAAACGTAAGGATAAGATCAATCAGAAGAAGGAAGCTCAATGATGGAAAACAAGTATTACTTTGGAACCTCTCATTTCGATGAAAAAAAAGTCGTCTGCGAGGGAGACTTGTTTTGTCTGTATTCAGACGATTATCTCACAAACGGCTATAATTTCGAAAGATGAAGTGAAAATACATATACTCAACAAGTTGTAGTGAAAAACTTTCTTTGCAAATTGAATTTGACTTTCGCGCTTGTGATTGCCCAATATTTCTTTCACCTGATATCCGATGTGGTCGTTGAGCCTTAGGAAAGCTCATTTCTGCCCTTGTCCATCACAATTCAGCATCTTCACCACCATGGATTTGTCGTTATCCTTTTGAAGCAGTGAATTGCATGCATCCTCTTACTTTCCATTTATCTCTTTTCGCAAATTGTCGAAAGAGTTAGTGACTATCTGCTTGTCACCGCTTTCTTCCTTTTCAAGAGTTTTCAATCTCTCAACTTGTTCTTGACATGTTAGCTTAAAAGATAAAACGGGCATCTAGAGCTGAAAGATGAAGAGATCCTAAGGGAGAGTTGTAGCGAAATGGGGAAAGCTCATCACTCAATTTCCTTTTCTTTCTCTGTCACTTACCAAATTTAGAAACTATTTGATTGTTATATTCCATTTACTTCAGATCTCATTGACAGATCTTGTAATCACTCGTAAACCTCTCAATTTTCGGCATCTCCCACTCTTTCTTCCTTATATATTGGCTTATTAAAGTAATTGATTCTTTTAGCTGTTTTATTGCTAACCTATTCATGCACTTAAAGCATCGTTTTGCATCCCAAAATAAGCATTGAGCTTCAATTTATTTTTTGTTCCCAAATTTACAATCACACCCACCAAATCCATTAATCCGAATTACTCTGTAAGCCTCGTTTTCAGTACACTACATAAAGCTTCCATTTTCATCGTTTTTGATCATAAGCATCAATTAGCATACAGCTATTGGTAAAACACGTGAAAATGACACGTCTATATCGTATTTTTAAATTTTTGCATTCTTAACCATCGGTTGCATTTGCATTAGTTTCTTGTTGTAATTAACCTTTGTTATTATTCTCATTCGAATATTTTTATATTTTCATTTAATCTGTTGTACAACTTAACTCCTCCCATATTCTCATGATACTAATATCATAGAGGTTACCCGCCCACTTCAAGTTCGTTCACCAGTATTCATTCTATGCCATCATCACCCATGGCATAGACGATATTGTTCTAGCAGAGAGACTCTTCTACTCCGATTTATCCGCCCCTCCCTTCCCTGAAAAATAAGATTTCAGTTACAACTTTAATAAGCACACGTCTTTCCATCTATCGTAATGAATTCTAACCAAAAGCTCAAGACAGCAACTCCTTTTTTCAGTTTTTTTCTCCTATTCAGGGTATTCAGGGTATATCCCTCTCTGCTCCCACTCAGTATTTTTCTTTTTCTCACTTTATTCCTTGATTCATCTTCTCAACTTCTTGTAATCATAAGAATAATGAATAGAAAACTCTTCAAATTATAAAATGAGCATTTGAGTACCAACATTGAAGAATGAATGGAAACAATTTAACTTCAATCTCATAGATACTAATTCAAGTAAGACATTCTCTTCTGAAGTAGAAAGTAAACTCATTTAGTTAAGAGAAACGATTAGATAAACAAATGTTTTTTTTCTAATTTGAAAATTCTTCCATTCAATCTTAAAACAATAAGATTTTTACTTTTTTTTTCACTATGGAGCCCTCTTCATTGCAGTTTTATGCCATTGCCTGCCTCTCAAGTATCAAAATCATGTTATTATGAACTAAATTTTTTTTTCTTCAATTCCTTGCACTTTGAAGCACAATCCTTTCTGCGACATATCAACAGGTTTAAAGCTTGACTAGCTAAAAATATATTTTTCTTCATTCCATTTCAATATTCTTCCTCTTCGATCTCATTTTGTCGTATTCTCAAGTGGCCCTTCAAACTATTTAAACATAATTAAGGTATAACTATGCCATCATTCAATTTATCACAAATTTTCTTCATCGTCGTTTTGCTCACAGCAACATCTGCCAGTTCCATAAGGGCTAAACGCCAGCTCAGTCCGGCTGTGTCTTTGGAAGAACGTCTTCCATTCCTTATGACCTACGGAAATTCAGAAGTAAGTCACAACAAGTGGTCAAAAATCAAAAGTATTTTCAATCATTTTTTTCCTCTTTTATCAGACACAGAATTCAATTTTACTTTACCACCACCGTGACTTTATTAAATAACATCTTTCCCAAAAATATAATTGCGTCAGCATAAAATCAGAGAACAATCTTTAAAGCTAAAGGACCTCACAAAGACAGGAAAAAACTTTTCTGCAACTCAATTCTTATATTAAAATATATGAAAAATAAAAAAATAAATATATATAGATAGATAGATATATGGATGGTGTATGTGTGGAAGTGTTGGGAAGGAGGGGGGGGGGAGATAGAGTATCTATACAACTGTTTACTTTATTTGGACTTATTTTGTAGAAGCGTTTTCGCTGCTTTTTTTCAGATAATTAAATTTAACTTTTGCGTGGGATGATTCTCATGATTGTTGAGTTGAAAACTATCTTTAACTACAACGTTTTGACGCAAAATAGCTGAAAAAGCTTAATAAACATGATGTGATTCAAGAAAGACAGGAAAAGCTTATTATTTTCACACTTTAGGGTTCTGCTTTCAAGAGGTCACCTCTAAGCGTTCAGCTTAAACGGCATATTTCTCCATCAATTGATGTCGAACAAGATTTGGGACAGATGAGAACATTGATGGATATTGGAAAAAGACAGGTTGATATCACTTACTACTCTCTCAAACTTAAATACTCATGCTCTTTCAGATAAGCATCACTGATGACATCAACAAAGATGTTGAGGTGAATAATATTGTTTTTTGATATACTAATTTATTGTTTTCCGTTTTTAGCTATACAACAGGCTGTTCAGTGCTGGCAAGAGAGCTATTTCTCCGGCTCATGATCTTCAATCAGCTCTTTCATTCTCTGATTACTTGGAAAGAGCTGGTCGAAGAAAGTAAGATCTTACAAATCCATTGAATGCTGGATGACGCAACGTGATAAAAATTAATTTTTTGAGTAGTTTTTTATTTAAAAATTCATCGTTTATCATCATTTATTGATCTCTCATACAAACAGACAGACACACACACCACAAGTTCTCTTTTCTCTCCTCTCCAACATGCATAATAACTCATGTGATATATTATAAACGTTTGATAAATTAAAGACAATTCTCAATTACTTAACAATCGCATCGCTTTCTAATAGCTTAAATCACGCTGTATTTCAGTTATCTGTTGAAGAAATATGTTAATTAATGTCTATGTTTTCTATAATTTTACATAGTTGGAGAAAAAGAAAAGAAAACAAAAATAATATTCGAAAACAATTATATTGAACTATCATATGATATATCCGATTACAATAAAAACATAATATATTTAATGGAAATTAGCCAAGAATACAAAAAAGGATTTGTTCACAACACTCTGATTACACGTGTGGCACATACACACACACATGTACGTAAACATAACAGTTACGTATGTATGGATATGTGTATTGATTGATGAAGACGGCTTTCAGTATGCTAATACGTCGAGACGCAACTCGTAATCGTTCATTGTCATTGTGTAAGAGATGTAGAGAACGGTTGCTCTTTTCGTTATCCTTCTTTCAACTCTTCATTGGGTATTCCAATATCCTTCTTTTTCTTCGCAACAATTCATGCTGTCAATGTCCTTTGATAAAAAAGGGGGGGGGGGGATTCTGATTTATCTCTCTAAGCTTCTATCGGAGTCATGAGTAGAATGCAGGAACTCTTTGACTCTAGCTGACTCACTTTGGTTGATTAGCTCTCCGTCCGAACAAGGGCCACCAACTCATATGAAATTTCCTGTCATTTCGGAGACATTAAAGTATCCAACCCAAGAATTTGCTTGAACTAAGAGTTGCCTCTGGCGAAACATACTAAGCTAAACTAACTGAAGCGGTCGAAAATCTTAGTAAGTTGTTGAAATAGTTGTTTCGAACCTATTATTACCTCATATTCTGTAATTTTTTTCTAGTTGCGAAAGCACTTATTTTTATTGAATAGGAGCATCTTTTTAGGCTAAACTTAGTATATATTTGAAAAAAGCTCTTTCATATACAGAAAACAGCAAAAGAAAGAGTAATGTGCGTAAAGCTTGAGAGGTAGGAAGACACTTGAGCGTATATGTAAGCTTGTATGTATGTATATCTGAAAAGACAAAATAGACACACCCACATATAGAAGAAGCATTTAATTTTTGGGGCAAAGGCCAGTCAAAAACCGTTGTATATTGAAAAATACATAATAATCTATGGAGATTCGAATATTCCCTTTTGGATACTTAGTAAAATCTGGACGTAATGATCTTTCTCAAAACGATATATCAACTTTTGATCGTCAATGAATGCTTGTTGCCTTTAGGGAATTTCAACTTGTTTCACTTAGTTTATTATTTAAAAATCATTCAGTACACTTCACATTAAATCCCAGCTTTCCTTCTTCCACATTTGGGCTTGCTCTCTCTTGCAGACTTTTTCCGCCAACAACGACGGACACAAAAAAAAGTTTAGAAAGCTTCATCAGATAAAGGCTTGAAAACCTTAAACACATTCATAATATCCGCTGAAGGCTCTTATTTATTTTTTTTTCTTGTTGCCTCCCTTTCTTGTGTGCTGCTTCATACATATGCAACAATTTTTTTCGTTTTGCACCCCAGAATGCCTTAGCTGGGTACTTTTTCTTTCTGATTTTACCTTTAAAAGCAATATTTCAACAATACATCTTCTAAAATCTTAGCTATTCAAGCTGTACAAAGCTGTTTCCACCGAAACGAAAAACGGAAGCGTCTCTTGAGAGAAGGCTGTTCCTTGAAAGCTTACCCTATTCATGGTTGTTCGTACGCAGTAGTGTTCATCATATTAGGTTAATATTCTTGTTTTTTTCTTCCAATTTCTATTTTTTGGTGTTATGACTTGAGTGTACGTAGCATCATCTATGTTCATCTGCCTTTACTACCAAAAGATCATGAAAATTTGAATTTTCATTCATTGTACACAGAAATTCTTGCGCCATAGAATGGCCATCGTATTTCATTAAATTTGTCCACTGAATCATAATGCAATCGGCTTTTTCACGGTTTTTTTCAAGTTGCTAAAGAACTTTCTCTAAATAGATAAAATGAACAGCTTCTTATTCAATTTCACGTCTCATAGACGAGTTTCGAAAGCATCACAGAATGCATTCGAACGGATGAAGAAACAGACAAATCCTGAGAGAGCTGATGAGAAATGAAGAAGTAGAGTCTCGGAATAGAAGAAGGCTTACTTCATAATAACCCCCCTCATCTGGCCATTCGTCTATTGGCCAAGCAGCTGTCCAGTCACTCATGGAACATCTCTGATTTCGTTTTCTCTCTTCCAAAAAAGAGTCTTTGCAAGTAATTTCACTTCTCCTCTCCCCTATCTATCTCATTACTCATTCCTTTTCGTATCTAATTCTTTCAATTTTTTGTGCTTCTCCCTTTCCAGTCTGTTAGTGTTCTTCTTATCTCTGAACTCAATATGAAGTCTCAATTGGATTCATACTTTGGAATTCCCCTCAATTTCACGCGATTTTTCCTTTTCAGCAATTCATCCACTATCTGCCGACAATTCAAACAATTTAAGAAAATGGATTACTTTCTTTTAGTTTTTTTCTTTTTTTTTTTAAACAAATCGATAAATTTATGGACACATATAATTACCGATAGACGAAACAATTCTTTAACGTTGTTAGAGAATGTTTAGAAACAGATTTCAAAAGGATTTTTAGTAAATGCATGAAAGATTGCAGCTTTTCACCTCTTCAGCCACACATGCTATTGTTCTTCTCTCTTACTGCTTATGAAAAACTTTGAACTTTTGCAATATACTCTGTTTCGAAAGAAAATGTTTGCTTTCTTCGTCTATTTTACTATTTCTTGGCATTAATTCCATATTAACAAGGCTATTCTAATTAATTTGCATACTGGTTGCTTTAACGGCCTCCACGCTACCCACCCAATTTTTCATTTTTTCGTTGAGCCCTCTGATGATCGGTTGTGCACAGAGCAGTAAAGCTCGAAAGCAATTCCAATCAATTTTTTATTCTTCTAATTTCAGAAAGAATGTTTCATTTACTTCTCTATTTATCGTCTGTCTTCTCCAATGGTTCTGGTCTAGAAGTTACACCGAGTGACATCAACAGAAAATGCTTCACCTGCTCAGTGTTTACTTTTATTGATAACCGTCTGCTATGTGCAAATCCGGGAGTGTGTTATGCAAATTACTGTTATTCTTGTAAGCTTTTGCACTTGGAAAACATCTTGCTAACTTATTTTCAGATTTATTATCGGATCAAAGACCTATGTATCTTGCAGGATGTGCGGAAGACATCTCGGATTATCCGTTCCGGTTAGATTAAGAAAAACTGTTTCTGAAAACAATTTTTTTAGGGATAATGATTCACGCACAGTTTGCCATGCACGAGGATCGTTTGGCTTATGCTTGTGCGAAACAACTGATGGTGCATGTAATACTCTTGATGCAAATATTACGGATTTAGCCTGGATCAACACGGACATTGTCATGATGAATGCTGTTTCGCACGTAAGAAACTTTTAAAAATAGAAAAATAAGGAACTATTAAACTATTATGATATTTTTCTTTACAGAGAGTAACTGGTTTCTCGGCCGATTACGCTAAAAACCGAGTACAACAACTCAGAGTGGAGGGATTTCCAGAAACATTTCCGGGCTTGCCGCTAAACAATTCCGCCGATCTTACAAACAATATACTTATTTATTGGTTAGGTATTGCTACTTTCATTCTTAGGCTCTAGACCAAGATAGAAAATATATCTTTTGTTGAATTTTACTTAAGCTTTTTCATACTGCTAAGATAAGCGTTTTGCTCACATTCACACATAAATGAAAAAATCTTTATTAGAATACTATTTGTACTGTAGCTCTTCTAAGAAAAATCAAGAAAAACTACTAGTATATCACAGTGAGTAATTAAAGGCAACTGGGTAGGCAAATCCTAGAAATCTGTATGTGCTTAATATGTGAGAAATATATTATGCTGTATACATTAAAAGCAAGCTGCTGAACAATTGTTGATAACCAGTATGAGAATTCATGTGTTCATACTCATGTATGAACTGTTTGTTAAATCTTAAGAAGGGGTGAGCAATATGAGTGTCAATTAAAAAATGTGAATATGGTGAGAAATACATGATATGAGAGACTTAGATGAGAAGTGGCTGCTTCTCCACTTTCGATGTTGGAGCCACGGTAACCAGGCGTTGTGGACTTTTGGTTCGGAAGGTAACGTATGTGTAAAGAATACTTCCAACAACGCTGAAACGTCAAATAGGTATTGGAAAAATAGGAGTATCACGAACCTGACGTTAATTCCAATGAAGTTAGCCCATTGGAAAACGAAATCTCCACTGGAGAACATACCGGCATACGTAACAACAAGATTCTATAACGGACAAGTAATGATTACTATGGTATTGCTGAACAAGTGCAAACCTTAATTGGTCCAACACATGTGGTCGTTAAAGCAGAATTGTAATGAGTACAAAGTACTAGAGAGTAGTTCAATATGAATCCGCAAACACATGACAAGATAAGGCAAATCCAAACGCTGCTCGTCATATCCTCACTGTTGATGAAATCCATAGCCTGTGAAAGCAAAACTATAATAGTTTTAAAAGAATCAGTTACTTTGTCGAATTCTCCATTGTATGTTATATAGATGAGCCCAGGGGCAGCCATGAACAAGCAGTTGTAGTACATCAGTCCATACTTGCCCAAATCCTAGAAAATTATATGTTGGGCTATATTTTAAGAAGACTTCGAACTTTAGCTTCTAATTTTTGTTTGGTATAAACACCCAAAGCCGCCGTACAAAGATCATTGATTCCAATGAGGATATAGCCGACCATATCGAACGTTAAATCATAAACTGCGGCTATAACAGATCCCAAAATCATTAGGCCCACAGAGATTCGAATAGCTCGTGAAGCATTAACACTAAAGAGTCAAATAAAATCGAGTTTTTTGACGTCGTTTGTCTCACCCTAAGATATAATATTCCAAAACCATAGTCATAAAAATGGAGAATCGTCTAAGAACTGTGAACATTGGCAGACTAAATTGGATTTTTTATACAATAATGAAAACAACAGAGCTTACTTGATCATCTGAGTTCCACCCAGACCAGATATTAAATTAATTCCATAAAGTAGGGGAAGAGGAAATACTTTTCTTGGAATTGATGAGTCAAGTTCTGGAAACTTCACCAGCTTAAATGCTCTGGCTAGCCAGAGAATGAGGATGGTGGAAAGCATCTGACCAACTCCTACAAATTGGAAAGAAGGAAACCTTAACGACGTAGGTTAAAAAAAGATTCTTAATTCAAAGCTACCTATAGTTGGTCAGAAGAATTTTGTTTACAAAAACAATGATAACGGAAGTGATTCCATAGAAGACAGCAGAACTCAATCTCTGAAGTACTGTAGCCTCTGCCATATCTAGAGAAAAATAAGCAATGTAACTAAATATAGATATCCATTCAAAAAGATTATAAGGGTGAACCCGTCAGGAAATAAAACAAGAAAAAATTAATGCTGTATTTGACATGAGGTTCTAACCAGCTAAATCAGTCATGTTCAAACAGGAAGTTGGTAGAACTAAGATGATGGACTCCTTGCTCACCATCTCCTTTTTGGCGGCCTTTCTACCGTGTACTTTGTATCGTAGTAATGGTAGAACGGCGCCATAAATCTTTTTAGAAGAAATTCTATACCATATATACATAAAATGATAAAGTGATATTTGTAAGAATCTAGAAGTATTAATCTGAGTAAAAATCTTATGTTATTCCATATGTAAGGGAAGGTTCGAAACGAAATTGGAACTCATTAAGAGATTCAAGCAATCTTGAAAGATAAGAAAGATGTTCAGGTGTTCTGAGGAATGAGGGATTCTCATACATATCCTTTGTCACAGGAGTCCATGACATCATCTTCAGATACGCCGACAGAGTATGATCCCTGAAAGAGATCATAAAAAACTTTTTTCAAATAATAAAATCAAGATGACGAGTAACTGAACCACCAGACTTCAGTACAACACCAAAACAGAAAACTATGAATAATAAGAACATACCGTATTGCCAACAATACAAAAACATGGAACTTTCCATCTTTTCCTAGTTCATTCTTCTCTGATATTTTCCTCACTAATTTTAGAGCGTACATAATAACATTTCGACTTTCTAAGGGCATCTTTTCTGATTCACCCCTCCGTAATAGCTCATTAAACCATAAAGTTACTTTCTCTATAAATCAAAACAAGTTTTTTTGTTCTTTCTAAATAGTTTCTCTTCCTCACCTATATAATCCCAGGGAAAATGTTGTCGGAACATCCGTAATGTCCATGTTGAGTCTTGTCGACCAAGTTGGAAAGCCTGGAAGTTATGACAGTTTCGAAAGCCTAACTTTTGAATTCACACCTGTTCGATGGAGTTGACCAAACCACGGTCTCCGCATAATAGATGAGCAAGTTCGCTTCTAATCTTCTTATCGCTGTGGAAGTACTTCACCAAAGCATTCACAGAATCTCCGAGCATTTGCTGTATTTCATTCAATCTCGATCCTGCGAATGGTAATTGTACATATTATTGAGAAATAGTTTTACTTCTATTGGTTGAAGTAGACTCAGGTATTCTTCCTGTGGAAGGACTTCTTTCTCTTTGTGGCGTTTGACTGCGAGATGTTGTTCTCCTTCTACCTCTGGCTGGTGACCCAGGCGGACAGTTAGTTTGATCCGTACAATCTTCGTCATTCACTTGCTCAGCTATCAACAATCTAAGAATTTTCGTTTATTCTTCTTTCTCAACTTTCGAAATAAAAAAAACTGATCACCTCTCTAAGCTCCCATCATCAACACCTTTACCGAACCATCGGCTACATGGGAAACGGTATGTTTGTCCAGTAATCTCATTCCGCACAATCACCTATACGATTAAACCAATATAATACACAAACTAACAAACTCACGTAGTCCAAAAACCATTTCGGAGGTCTTTCTATACCAGCAACATGCCCAATTCGCAAATTTGAGAGCAATCCAAGATTTTTGTGCTAAATGAAAACATTATGACAACTCATCTACAACAACGCAGCCACGAAGCGTTGCTGCTCAAACAAATCAGAAATGTGTGAGAAAAAGGAATAGAAACTGACGTCAAACTTGAAAAGAGGAGTTCCAGGTGGCAATTTTATTTGAGGACTTTTCGCGAGACTTCCTTCTATTTCTACCCATACAGCTGGAAGGGACCCTCGCCAGCCACTTGTAACTATCACAACTTGATAGTCCATTTCTAAGAACTCGCTTTTATTTAAGAACAACAAAGTCTTTCTCACTTGTTTTTGTGAATGCATTAGTGAAACAGCGAAACTGGGCAGCATTAAGAGAAAGAACATGAAAGAGAAACTGTTCTTTTTCGTCCTCACATCTTGAAAAGGCGTATGGCTTATACAACTCACTTAAAAAAACATATTTAATAATATCCCAAACAAAACTTCCTCACTTCAACAAATTCTGATTACCCATCAGAGTACTCAAATGTCGATGAAGAAGTTTTCTCTCTAAGGCTAAACGAACAAACGCCCGTGCATAGCCTATGTCAGTTTTGATTTCAGTCATTCTGAGAACATTTCTGTAAACATAGCGAAATTTATAGCTACTGCCGTTTCAGAAACTGACTTTAAATCGTAAGCAATACTCGTTGGGAGGGGGGCAAGAACTACACGACCATCTGGACTTCTATTTCGACTCTGAGACCGTTTCCGAGGCGAATTTTCTACACTAACATATCCATCACGTCCGCCTGACCATTGTGGATTCGTGAAATCTGAATAAATATATTATCACAATATAACTAGCTCCTACAAGCCAATGCGAAAGCATGACAATGTCAGACTAAACCAATTAGAAATTCATGCACTACATTACTCATCAATTAGAAGCAAGGCCGAACTAAGATGCAAAGTGCCACATGCAAGTTAAATATGTTATTATACTCCTTATAAACTCCCATATATAGGCAATGTTAGTTATCCATCCCGTTTAGAAGCAAACGTGAAATGGTTTAGCAAGCAGTCGAACCCACCACTAATGGAACTCGATTTCCTCAGCATTGCCTGTCTCGAAACGTGGCCCGAAATTGGTCGATTTGGCAAATATGGTTTAGATACAGGTCCTGTTATGGTCTCATGTCGTGGTGGCAAATCTCTAGGCTGAGCTGGTGCAACTGGTACCGCAGCCGAAGATATTTTATCACAGATAAAATTAGCAGCCCGTAGAATGCTCCGAGACCAGGCTGGTGCATCTGGATCATCCTCTTTTGTATTGAGCTCCCTCTGAATCGTTTCAACGAGGTCGGACAACGCCACACCAAAATCGTTCTCATTCGATGATGGAAGTATAATTGGGGCAGGTATGATGTCCGGCGAAAAAGTCTGAAGGCTTGGGCGTCGTCGTAGTCCTCTATCTGTCACAACACAACATTAAATATATCATGCCAAGGCGCAGCCATATGAAAAATATACGAAGAGCAATAGCGTAAATTTGGCCAATAATAGTGTCCAAAATATAAAATCAGCGCAACTGTCAAACGCGGCAGCAATTTTCAATACAAAAGCGGATATTTCATTTTCTTACGTTCTATTCTCTTCCGAAATACTAACCACGCTAGAGCTAGAAAAAAAATTGGTTCTTTAAACAGAAATGGAAACAACTGAGGGTATTTGAAATAGGTGAATTTAAGATATCAGATCTTGACAAATGCGACAAACGCAAACGTTACCTGGGGTCAACATAGATGAGGACATTGTTCTTGAGGACATTCCACTCTTCTCAAGGTCTTCATGTTGAAGGACATATGACCATAAAGCCGATTTTCCCTAAGGATAAAGAAATAACTCGGCTTCGAACTCCTCATAACAAACTTGTTTCTTAACAAGTCCATGAGCATAAATACGTTCAAGAAGATCGCAAAACGATGCAACGAGCGTGTTTTCCTCTATTCCAGTGATACCAGCATCTAAGTGGCCCAAGTGCACAGCTTCTTTACCCATTTTGTCTACCAACATTCTTTTTGTTTTTCCTGGAGCGATACAGTTAGGATTGAAAGATGATGTGAGGGAGCAACCGTCCTCTTGAAATTGTTTCAGAAAATAAATAACTGCAGTCACGTGGAAGACGTGAGTATACTCTCGATCTTTATGCAAGTTATAACATGAACGAGTTAGTACTTATTCGGAACAATTTCAAGAGACTTACTACCAGTTGGAAAAACTTTCTTTACCTTTTGTTTCTCTTAACAGTTGCTCGACAAACTTGAATTGTTGCTTAGCAATAGCTGATTTGGAATCATCAATCAAACTTTGTCCACCATAAGTGCTCGTTGGACGAGCGGAAGATATCTTGAAAGGATATATTTAATAGCTGCTTGAATGTATTGGGTACCTCTTGCTGCTTGGGTCTGGGATTGACATGTCTTTGTTTCCACGGGCTTGGAGCAGGACTGAAGCCAGCAAATCCTTCTAATATAGCTGTGTTCATCTCAGGCCAAAATCCATTAAAACTGAATGAGTATACAAAGAAATAAGATAGAAACGGTAAAAAAATACATGTTGGCGAAACTCCCAGAAACGGGATGAGGTCCTGACACAACATAATCAAGATTATTTTCTCTTTTGGAAATCAGTTCTTCTATAATTAAAATATAATACCAATAGATTCAATAATCTGAAGCTACCTGTGTAAGCAAAAGGAGGCTTAGAGTCTTCAGTTGGGGTTCTGACCATGGATAAACCCATTTCTTTCCTCATTTGGGCGATCCTCATGTCAAATAGAGCTAAGTTGTCATCTGGTGTTTCCCATTGAGACAAAATTTTAGCATCAATGAAAGATGTAAACATCTGAAACATTCATGATGAACAGAAGTGAAAGCAACATGTGAAACCTGAGTCTCCAGGAAAGCGGCGAGAAAAGGTAAGTGACTATCCGGTTGATCTGATAAGAACGAAGCTTTATCGAAACAAACTAAGCTCTCCCTTAAACAAGTACATTGTCGAACAACATAAAAATGAATAATGTAACCTGCTAGCTTCGAAGCTTTCCCGATCTGCACATCCCTGCCCTCCAACTACGAAATGCTCGTATGAGTATAACATACCAGCAATTCTGTGCAAAACACACTCTCGAATGGCATTGTTCAGTTTCGCATCCTAGTGATAAGAAACGTTAGAAGAAAACTGAGGTTAACCGTCATACAAGGAAATATCTCCTACATATAGGAGATTTCAAATACTTCTCATTGGTAGTAACTTCTTGAACTAGATCATTGACGTCAACAGATACACCAACTTTCCTGGCAATTTCTGTGACTCTGGAAAAAGAAGAATCACATGATGAACAAACTCAAAAAAAAACCTGGCAAGCGTTGAATTATAACGTAAAACATCTTCAACTTGGTTAGTTTTGCTAGGCGTTCTATTGGGGCGAGGTGGAACTGAATTAAATTACTTTTTTACGGTTAATAAACTGATACTTACCTTTGTTACCATAAAATCCCTCATCATCTTCAAAATCAAACGATCTACTCATCCGTTTCATTGACCACTCTTCGTTCCTTCTCCTATCAGTATGAGGTCGATGAACTACTATGGGCTCCTCTTCTTTCGTAATTACTGGCTGATTCATGAACTCATTCCAAATGGAATATCTTAAGAGGAAGCGAATGAGGCAAGAAAATGTGAGACAAACGTTTTTATAGCGTTGTGAACATCCTGTTCGAGCTCTTTGAAACCCGGAAACAAAGGTAGGTCTTCGGGAAATTCCGATCGTCTGTTATCGATGTCAATCACGCAAACGTTAGATTGAAAAAGGAACTCAGGTACAGAATCGTTATAACACCATCCCATTACATACGGAACCTGAAACAATTACTTGGAATTAGCAAATACAGGTTCTTTTACTGGAGCTTCCACGAATTTCAGCTGAGAACTGGGCAATATGGGTACGTAGACCATTTGCCATCGAAACGGGAATGCGAGCACTGTGAGGGCCTCACATACGCACATAAGTTTGGAATAATCTTAATTGAGGGAATAACTAGCATTAGAGCTGGGAGTACCTTTAGAGCAAATGAGAATTTGATGTTCAAGAAGAAAGCATGAGAACAGCTTAATAAACTTATCAACAGGCAAAAACTTAAACAAACAAAATGATAAGAAAAAACGTGTGATAGTAAAACCTGAAATAAAGACCCAAGTGAATCATCGAAAAGAGGTAGTTCAAGAAGACTAGGGCGTTGTACGACTATGGGAGTATTTAAGAAAGACACCTAAACAATTATCAATGAATGAACGAACAGAAATATTGCATACCTTAAGACTAGTTCCAGGAGATGGCAAAGGTATTTCATTCAAAATCCAAAAAATATAACTCTCTAAGGGAAGATTAGCTTCCTGCTCTCCTCTGATTATCTCATAGAACGTCTTTAATATGGCTTTCGGAGCAGCAACAAGCGGTAATCGGGTTATCAAGCAAAGTGTTTTCGACCTTTAATGCTTTAATTGGAACAGAAAACTTCAAATATCTTACATGAAGAGAATATTCTGACTTCCACCATCATAATAAGATATCCTTTTACTTTTATCTCGTCTTCCCCTAGGGAGCGTATGAGTACCACCTGAAGGGATTAAAGCATAGAGTGAAATATTGCAGATTGACATCATTTTGATAAGGATCATTAAATACCTGAAATCGTTCCGGGGGGTAGATGCGTTCTTTCTCGATCAACTCTTTCATGAGCAGTGAGTTCTTTAACATGCTCAGTTTGGAGCCTTGACATAGCCTCACAAATCGAGATATCACGCACTTCCTAACAAATGTCATTTTAACAGAGTTTATTTCTTTCAAGTTATGTTTACCTCGTAAAAGGTAATAGTTGTGCCATTCACGCGAGAACCATCCTCTTTAATGTTAGCGAATGTATGAATAGAGGGAACTGTTGGCACATCTTTCTCGGTAAAAAAACGTAATCCTCTAGGCATACAAAGCTAAAAGCATGTTCATTTCATGGGCTTATGATATTTTTTCGTTCTTTACCGCTAATACTTCATTAGAAAACGGTGTTTCAGGTCTTCTCTGTGGAAAGTGATGTAGAATTTTGGCCTCATAACTACGCTCAAGAGGTGGACGAAGATTATCCAAACATGGTACATCAGAATTTATAGCGTAATATGAGCTTGAACAAGGCTATAAGCATGTTGTTTTCATAAATTTCATTAACTTTATGTAGTTTAGTACCACTATTCCCGTTTCTGGATCAAATCCAGCAACAACGAAGTAATCAACCAACGTCGTATCAACATCCTCTTTCCGCATACTCATGACTTTATACAAAACAAACTAATTAGACCATCTACCACATGTCGTTCTGAAAATAAAAGTTGTGGCTCAGTAAATCTGGAGACTATTGGCTATTTCAATGAAAATAATGAAAGATGTAATAGGCAAAGATATGTGTGAGCATTGTTCGATAAAACATCAATGCAGTTTCTAGTAGAGAATAGAACATATTAGACATTTAGATGAACATTGAGGATTACATCTGTGTTGTGGGAATATTCTTTGAGTTCGTGTATTTATCTGCGATTTTGCTAACGATTCATATTTAATTATATATTGATTCAAGCAACATCATAAATTTTGGAGCGTTGGGATCTAACTCTGCGCCAACACCCAATATATGCTCAAATGACGTGATATGCGTGCATTCAGCTTGGACGTGTCACACGTGAAAATTAGTTTACGCTATCACGTGGCATTTCGATGGAGTTTATCTTCATTTTTGATATAAACGGGTTGCCGAGATGTTAGCGACACTCGAGCCCTTAATGGAAAATGATTTTTTCTTACCAAATATCAATTTTAATAATGCGAGCAATTGTCAATGCTACTTATCAGGTTGGCAAATACTAGAGGGGAACGGGGAAGAGAGATGTTAGTAAATTTCTAAAAATATGATTTGGAATGAAAGCAACAATAGAATTTGTTCTCTTGTGAGCATTTTTTCGTTAATACGGGATTAATAGGTTTTGTAATGTTGCTTCCGAAATCCTTCACATTATAGCTTATATAAAGGATAAGAATACATTAATCTATTTTCAGATTCTTGTGTTTGCTTACCGGAAGAAGAACTCTTGGATAATAAAACTATTGATTCGTTCAATGAGAACGAAAAGTTATTTTTTCCCATCGTTGACACCTTTGGTTCCCAAGTATGTGCACTGTTCAACTAACTTTTCCTCTTCTCCTTCCAGTCCTCTGTTGTTTCCGTATTTAATCCTTATAAGTATGGTTCGGAAGTTCATTATGATTATTCTGCCGTTCTGGATTCCTATTCGCCTGATACAAACACCACACTAGTTTTCAACTTTCAAGATGAAGGAGATTCTATAAAGGTGCTTATTTCATCAGTTCGAATGAATTAGTTAGTGTATATCAGAAAATTACATGCGAACCACTCAAAGAGAAACGGAGAATAAAAGAAGAAGTATTCGATTCTGACGAACCACGGAAGAAGTTTCTTTCCTCGTTTGAAACTCGACAATAAAATTGCACTTCATAGGTTCGCAAGGTTCAGAGACAAGAAGTTTGTTTGTGATGTATGCGAGCACACTTTCACATTGAAGCAGAATGTCGCTCAGCACTTCTATTTGGTTTGCTGTTAAACTGAAGTTCCAGAAACTTTTATGATTTAGTATCACCATCCCAGAAAAGAATCCACAAATAAACTCACTAGAGACAAAGTATCCCGGTATCAGTGCACAAAGTGTGATAAAGTTGGTCATATCTTATTCATTTGCATACGAAAATTTCTCTTCTTAGATTTTCCTGAAGCTCGAGCAAGCTAAACGTCATGAAGTTAGAGTTCATGGTGACGTTGCAATTTTGAAAGAGAAAAAAGTGTTCGCTTGTGATGAATGCACGAAGGTTTGTTCAGGTATTCGGAGGTAAAACATATTTGATTCTTAGGTTTACCCAACAAACACACAACTGCGTGATCACAAGCGTGTCTTCCATCAGTAAGTTGACCTACACGCAAAAGGAAGAAAATTTGTCAGAAACATACGAATGTTCCAATGTAACACGTGTCAAATGAAGTTTGGAAGAGCGGGAGGCCTACGAAGGCATATTCAAATGGTACACGAGCAGCAGCTCTTCAAATGCCCCTATGAACATTGTGAGCATCCTGGTTATAAGTGCACAAAGGTAGATTTTTTATTCACATCTGCCGTTAATGATTTCGATTATATAGGCTTTGACAGCTCATATCCGATCTCGTCACACGTTTGTGAGGCCATTTTCCTGCCTACATTGTGACAAAAGTTTTGTTCGTAAGAACGATTTGAAAGTTAGTCCTGAATTAGAAGCCGTATACCCCCTTTGCTTCATTAGGTTCACGAGCAAATTCATTCCCTCCAATCTGGACATGATTGCCCGTTTTGCAAAAAAAGTATGCTTTTTTTCTTTTCGTGAAGAAAATTAGATCTGTATCAAAAACATATTTGTAGCTTTCAAACGGAGCATTTATCTCATGAAGCATTCAAAGAAATGTGTAAAAACCCCCAAAAAAGAAGAATGTGATTAGAACTTGTTGAAGCTTGAAGCTACTTAAGTTCCGAACTTGTTGAACCCAACAACTTTCAAGAATAAAGTGAACTACATATAATAAATAATATTTCAAACGCCCTAACTTTCACTTTCCTTCATTTACATAGTTTATGCTCACAATGGTGGGAGCAATTTTTTTTTGTTTTGACTAGCTCAATACAAACAACGGCTGGTCAGCTACTTATTACTCTATATTAAATTTCAAAGAGAAAAATTGGGATTGAATAATCGTACATATGAGATCATTGGTGCCCAGCATCTCTATTGAAATATACACCGCACTTTTGTGACTTTCATTTCCCGAATAGAAAAGTTGAAGTGAATAAAAAATAATAAGAAGATTAAAAAGTGGGAATTTGTTCAGCTGTTTATTCATGAAAAACCATTTTCAGAATAATAGGAAGGAAGTTGGATATTTTGCTTAGAAAACTAATTATTACTTGAAAAATAATACAACCGTTCTGTCCGCCCACTCGTTTGTAAATGACGCGAACTTAACGTGAGATAAGGACTGCATGTATGTATGTGACGTGAAGGTATTAACTAACATTTCTATGGAGCATGAGGAAGTTACAATATGTTTTTATTTATTTAATAACTTTATACAACAAACTCGACTAAACTTCAATAGGAATTGGTCTTTTCCTTTGTTCTCTCTTCAGATTCCTGCGATGCTTATGATTTCTTATCCAACTCTCCATTCGAATCAGTAAATGACCGAACGTTTGTCGATATCTTGAACTCATGAAACAATATAAAACAAAATCCACGCTGCAAATAAATTAAATGTTGCAATAACAAAGAGTTAATCACCTGCAATTTATCAATGAAAGCAGATCAAACAGTTCTCCCACATTTTGATAAATGTAAGCATGAATTTGTGATGTGTAAACACCTAAATATTTGTATCTTGTAACATTCGTCAATTTTCAATCCCTCTCCTATCCCCCTTACCATTCAATAAGGCTATTATGCCTTGAGGTAATTCTGTAACCAAAAATACAACGAGCATAATAATCAGCATATATGTAGTACGATCTGGCACAGTCGTTTTTTTAACATGTTTTCTGAAGCTTTTAGAATAGAGATAGTTCCGTTTTTCATCAGTAGCCCGTAATTTCATTACTAACACTATTGTAAACCATAGTAAGAGAACGCAAGGAACAGCCTGGAAAGATATTATTGTTTATGATATTTTCAGTGAAATGAATGACCTTCATCACAATTGCCAAGGTCCATAAATTGAATTTGAAAAACGAGCAGGAGTAGTTAGAGAAGTTAAGGGTATATCGAATGATTTTATCATTATCTATAGTTATATTATTTACTCTTTTTATAAGTTCAGAGAACGAGGAAGTACCTTTTAGAGCATATATCTCGTGTAGTAGAACAGTTGGAATACATAAAACAGATATAGTACATGTGATTAAAAAGAAGAGAATCCTAAAATAGATGATGTTTTTCATTTCTTGCTCTCTTGGAACATTGACTGACCATGCAGCTTTAGGTTGCAACCACCGACTATGAATGTTCCCTAAAGCTTGCCATCTTATGAAAGCTAATGCTGCACCCATATATAGTGTTGTTGCATGTAAGGCTATAGATAAAACAACGTGAAATTTCAAATATAAAGCCCAATTGTAGGTGTACCCATCAGTTCCCTGAAATAATTCAATAACATCAAGTTATATATAGTATCTATAGCTTACCTGATAAAAACGAAATCTAAAGAGATATATTATATAAGATATCATTGTACAAACATCACAAAATGCAACAGCTATTAGAACGCAATTGACAGCACATCGTCTCATTCGAGGTCGAGATAGTACAAGTATATGAATAGAATTTGATAGAACACCCAAAAAACATATAACAAGACATGCGTATCGATGAAAAACTGTATAAAATCTGTAAAAAAATGTAATTATAGAAGTAGTTAGAGCATTGAATTCATAGATTACTATTCATAAATTGAATGATTACCTATTAAATTGTTCCAATTTATTAACCAACGATAGAAGCAGTGGATCTGTTTGATTGATGAATGTGCCCTGTTCTTGGCACATAATAGCTGCTGAAAAATACTTTTTTTTAAGAGAAACAGAAGAAAAAATTTTTCTTTAAATTCATTATGCCGATTGTTAGTTCAATTGAATTTCGAAGATTGTTCTTTAGCCGTTTCTTATTCGTACTCTCTCCTTCTCTGTTTCTTGAAAACTATCCACTTCTCACAAATTAACAGGTTAAGGTTAGTTAGATAGTTAATTAAGCTTACTTTATTGTAGAAATTCTTTCTTACAATTTCATCCTAAATATAGAAAAACTGAAAGGAAACAAAAGAAAATATTTGAGAAAGAGGAAGAAGAGGGAAAACACATTTATTAAGGAAATAGAGAGAGAGGGAGAAAAAGAGTAAATGGAATGGGGGAAAGCGGGAAGATAGAGATGGAATGCAACCGCTCTGAACGCTTACAGAGGGAGAAGAAAGAAGAAAAAACATTTTTCATATTTTTCCAAACAATAATTGCCGTATTAAGATTGCTTAACATGTCACTCAAATCTATGTGTTCTGTTAGTATTTTCTTTTTATTCTAAATCTTCCAATACAAGAACACATCTGTGGGATGGAAGTATGCACACACCACACCACACACATACACACACATATATACTCAGACACACATCGTTATTAATATTCGGAAGAAAAGAAAACAATATTAGGCAATTGGTTTACTTGAAAATTTAATATTTTTTTATTTCAAAAAATCTCTAAGACAATATATATTTCTAAACGATAATTGCGTTTCATTTAATTATTAAAACAACAGCTGACTACTACCGACCGCTCATCAATAAGTTCAGATTCCAAATGGATTTTCTTCAAACGCGCGGCTTTTTCCAGATTAAATGTAAATTAGCATAATAAGAGACTCTTCGAGCGAAAAGTATTTGAAGTTCGCTCCATATTTTTTTTTGCGCTCACAGCATCTCAACAACTTCTTTGGCAAAAAAAAAAATAAATTTTTGAAATTTCAATCAGTGAAACGTTTCGTTCACTCGGAACATTTGTTCAATTTAAATAATAAACAACAAAAAATGCAATAACAATGAAGCAAAAAGAAACCTTGACTCTCTCTCTTTCTCTTGTTCTCTTTGTATTGAAGCATCTTTATTTTTTTTTTAAAAATTAATAAAAAATATTTACCGTCATCTATGAAAGGTATGGAAGTATTCATATATCAATAGAATATTCAATGAAGTACATAGAAAACTGAAATTAAATGAAATTTCTTTTAGCTATTAGAACAAAAAAACTTCTGAAAACGTTCAAACGCAGTAGAAAATTCAAATATTTCAGGAGTATAGTCTCTCTCTCTCTCTATCAATCGTCTCCTCTCTTTGCACTCCCTTCTATTGGCCCATTCTCCTCATCACTCCTCCTCTTTCCTCTCTCCATTCTCTTTTCTTCCTGCTATATCTCTGACTCTCTTTGTTTGTTATTATCCTTCACCCTCAATATATCTTCTGCTTACAATGAGCATTATCTTCAATTTTGTTCCCATCTTCACCTTCTATGTTTCTGTTCTCTTTTTTGGGCCATGCGCTTGTGCTTCAGAAAGCTTTTTCTCTCTTTCTATCCTAGTCGTCACTTTAATTTGGGTTCATTTTCTTCAATTTTACCTCGTCAGCAAATGTCTAGAGGATAGAATCTCCGAGGATTCCGTCTTCATAATACTCTTCTTAAAGTGGTCTTCACTCTATGAACCAACACTCCAATCAGTAATTCCACAGAACAAGTATACAATTGAATAGGATGAAGCTTGCTCTGCTCAACATATGTTTCATATGATTTTTCAAATATTTTGTTGCTCATTTCATAGACAGAAAAGGTAAAGTACATAAGTAAAATGACACCTACGGGTGAGAATAAAACAAATGTTAGAACAGGTTGAACAATAAAAATTTATTTCAAAACTTCTGAAGTCACAGCATCTACTTATTACAACAGAATATATAAAGCTTAGAAGGTGATAAAACCAGCAGATCGTTAAACGGTTCAGGAAGTAGTTAAACTACATTAAAGATTACAACGAAGCCTTGGTGGAAAATAAGAAATTCCGTCATATTCTTTGCAAAAACAAAATACAAAAATAAAAAAAAACTAAAAAGGAAACGAATAATGAAATTACCATTGAAGCCGTTTATCTTCACCCCATACTGCATTCATAACCATATTTCATATTTAATTATGTTCTAAGATACAATCATCATAGACCATACAGATTTTTGTTTCGTTAACCAAAGTCTTCCAATATCGTTTCTTGTCTTATCTCTTATTTAGAAACTTCTTTTTTAACTTTTCAATTTTTAATTTCATTCTCTTTGCCGATTCTAATCTTATATGTCATGTTATTGACCGAAGACAATTATATTAATGTTCTACAATTCTGTTACATTTCTATTACAAATATCCTTTTGCATCAAATATCTAATTTACATAAAAACTTTTGCACAAAACATTTACTAATCCTCACCCTTTTCCCCTATTCCATTCTCCCCTCAACACCTCCACACCATTCACTTTCGCTTCACTGATGCAGAGAAACCCTGCAGTAGTTTAGACCATTTCACACATTTTTGAACTTGTTCAATAAAACGAGAGGAAAAAAAACATAATATGAAAGCTTTTATTGTTTTCGAAACTGCTGTCAAGCTTAGGCAGCCTTAGCATGTCTGTGACGAAGAACTTTCTTGGCA